CCCACACAAAGGGCTCTTCCTAAAGGGACCCACGGAATCCAATTTATTATGGAATCCATTCTAGGACTTACACTATATGAGGGAGAAACCTAGCCCCAAGGTGAGGTTTCTAGGAAAAGTAATGACAGCAAGACCCAAAGCTAAGGTAAAAAATTGTTATTGCAACTTACTAAAATCTAACAGTATTATAACAAAAATACTAAAGCAATTAAAAAAAAAAAAGAATTGCCAAAATCCCACATGACCCTGATAACCACAAATATTTTTGTTAAATTCCACTTCTAAAGCAGGATCTTTGGCAGGAACATAATATTCTGGAGACTTTGGAAACAAAAATCAGGTACTATTCCTGTTGGCTGGTTCTAAATAATCCAAGCCATGGAATGAGAGGAGGGCTTGTTGCCTCTCCCTCTCCCGCAACCCCTGCTTTTCCCAGTGCAGCCTTTAGACAGCCCATCACTGCAGCAGAGGGTGAAAACCCAAGCCCCCCACTCCACTCTGTGCTGAAGCAGAACATCAGGTGAGGGGGCAGTGACTCCTGGGGCCTTGAATTTTGAAGAGGCTCCCTCAATACCGCTCGGTGAGTCTGCTGCACATTTAGCCTGGAGGAGCACTATTCGAGGGGCACCTGGGTGGCTCAGCCGGTGAAGTGATTTCCTTCGGCTCAGGTCATGATCCTGGAGTCCCGGGATCGAGTCCCGCATCGGGCTCCCTGCTCGGCAGGGAGTCTGCTTCTCCCTCTGCCCCTCCCCCTTCTCGTGCTCTCTCTCAAATAAATCAATAAAATCTTTTTTAATTTTTATTTTTTGGATTTTATTGATTTATTTAATTTTATTATGTTAGTCACCATATAATACATCATTAGTTTTTGATGTAGTGAATAAAATCTTTTTAGAAAAAGAGAGAAGCATGGGGCTCCTGGGTGGCTCAGCCGTTAAACGTCTGCCTTCGGCTCAGGTCATGATCCCAGCGTCCTGGGATCAAGCCCTGCATCGGGCTCCCTGCTCGGCAGGAAGCCTGCTTCTCCCTCTCCCGCTCTCCCTGCTTGTGTTCCTGCTCTCGCTCTCTCTCTGTCAAATAAATAAAATCTTTAAAAAAAAAAAGAGAAGCACTGTTCGAGGGGGAAGAATCAGCCCTTGGACTTCTCGGAAGAGGGCCTGACAGGCCGATGCAGGCCAGCAGGGCAGGTTCTGCCTGAAGACCAGGGTAGAGGAAGCCAAAGACTTTGAAACAAGCGAATGTTTTGTTTCCAAGGACAGTAACCAGTCACTTTACTCTTAGTCTTATGTCGGAGAAAAAGGGGGAAAAAGTCCTTTTTTTTTTTTTTAATTGTAAGGAATCACTGTTTAGGGTTTTTGCAGTATATGGATGAGTGTGCTGTATAAGTGACCACACACTGAAATGTTAAGGGTTAGTTTGGAAAGGAAGTAAAGCTTGTGGGGGAAAAGCCACCAAACCGGAAGAACTTCCTCAACAAAGCAGAGACTGAATGGCAGCACGATGATCTTTCTAGATTATCTTTCTAGTTCTGTCCAAGCTTTGTTTTGCTCCGTCTGGCGCTCCCATACCCCTCGCACAGCTGCAGTGGGGGCGTGGGACCACAACACTGACCCTAAATGGGAAGCAGTGGGGGCGCTCCGGAGCAGAGCCCTCGGAAGTGGACAATCTCTTATTTGTATCATTTGCTCTTCTCCTCAGTACTGTGAGCAAACATCCATTTTGTTCCATTAGTTTAGGAATTACACTAAAAAATTAAACTATGGAACTATAAAATGAAACATTCTAGTAAACCAACCCGCTAACTTCCAAAGCCCAAACTTCAACTGCTCTGGGCACCAAATGACTTGTTTTTTTATTTTATTTTATTTATTTATTTTTTAAGATTTTATTTATTTATTTGACAGAGAGAGAATGAGAGAGCACATGAGAGGGGGGAGGGTCAGAGGGAGAAGCAGACTCCCCGCCGAGCAGGGAGCCCGATGCGGGACTCGATCCCGGGACTCCAGGATCATGACCTGAGCCGAAGGCAGTCGCTTAACCAACTGAGCCACCCAGGCGCCCCTTGACTTGTGTTTTTAATCCCTTCCGTGATGCGTTCCTCCCTCCCCCCACCCTTTTAAACGTGTCTGAAATCCGGATGCATCTGACAATTACTGATGTGAGGCAGTTTAACTGGAAGTATTTTTTTGTTATGACACCTAAACCAATGGTTTCTCTAATAATTATGGAAATGACAGATTTGATAAAACATGATGGATGCTGTCTGGACGCCTTGGGACAGCCAGTAAGAAGCACCACCGGTCCTATATATTCTGTAGTTCCACTCTGACGGAGCCAGCCGGGCAGCGGTGTGAGCGAGCCTGCTCCCCGGGGGGCCCATGCTCCCGGTCAGCGGCATCTGAGGGAATCCCTCCTACTAAGTCACGAGGTGAAGCGCCTCTGGGGGTTGGTGCACAACCAGGCAGGCTCACCAACAGGACAGAACACGAAGGACAGCCTCGGGAATTTATTACCTGGTCACTCTCCGCCGAGGAATGCAGCTGGGCAGGGCCCTGCGGCCCGTCGGCGATACTCTTCTGGTCCGTTTTACTGGGTAGGTTTCTTCTACTTGAAAGCTCTCCCGCAGAAGAGTCTGTCAAACCGTCAAAATCTTTCCCATCGGATACACCCATAAACTCTGTGAAAGAATGGTCCTCAAGGATATTTGTGGTGTGTTCCACGGTCACTTCCCCGGGGTAAAATTCTCTGGCTGGCTGGCCATTTCTGCTGGAGCAGGCATCTTGTTCGGAACAGGAGCCAGTCCTACAGAGGATTTGGGGGTTTTTCTCAGGGATGCTTTGGGGCGATGGGCTCCCTTTGGCTAAGGCACTGTTTTCCTTGAGGGACACCAAAATTATCTTCTCTTTCCCCGAGCCTCTTTCTAGTTCTGTCAACTCTTTGTTTGAGGACGGTCTGAAATCGTGCACCAGCGACGGTCCGTAATGCTCACTGGAGTCCGTATCCTTTGCCTGCATGGCTAGCTGGTCTGAGCTGTCGCTGGAAGGGACCGCCATGTCAGACAGTGTGGCATTGGAGGCACTGTGGGAAAAGTAGCCGCTGGTAATACTGCTGGTCGTGGGGCTACGGGACACTTCTTTCTCCAAGACCCTTGAGTTCATCAGATCGACTTTAGAAGAAAACCACTCCCTGTTCTCCAAGCTGGCGTTGTAAACACTGAAGTCCGCAAACTCCACAGGTACGTAAGGCTGCGAACTTATCAGCTTCCTGTTAAGAGCTTCCAGATCATTTTCCTCCTCCTCAGAGTCCTGTAGTAATGAAGGGAAAAGTCACTCATTAGCTCCTTTCAGCGACTTTATTGTCGAGACAGGTTTCAAATATATTCATATTAAAGGCATTCACATTCACATGTTTAGTGTTGTTTTTTTTTTTCTTTCTTTCTTTCTGAGTTTGGTTAAATCTTGTCAACTATGGTGCATACAAGTACATTATTCTCAGAGATCTGTGAGCATAAACCCATTATCACCTAATATGGAGGAGATTTCTTTCTTTTGTGCTCACTCAGTGCTAATTGGAAATGCTTCCTTCACTGGTTTAAGTGCAGTAGACTTTTAATTAATTTTAATTAATGATTAGTGTTCAGTTGTGATGTTTGCCCTTTTGGAATAAAATGAGGAGAGGGGCAGCTGGAGGCGGAGAAAAGCTGTTGCTTCACTTGTCCTTACATTCCTCACTTTGGGAAGCCAAGTGCAGGTGAGGAAGGTACTTTGTAGAAGGTTTCTGAGCTATTTTATCAGGGGAGAGGGCAGTAAAATCAAGACCTCAACAGTGAAAAGAGCAAAGAACACAATTTCAACACCCGTTCCCAGTGTTGTATTAAACATCATAGGGCTGTAAAATACTAAGAGTGTTACAGTTAACACTTTCTAGGGGTTTGGAGAAGCACCGTTAGAGGATTTGGCCAGAGGTGAGGAAGGTACTGAGACATCACTGAAAATCTCCTTTATCAAAGAGCTTTAGAATTCTGTTTGTAAAGACTAGTAAATATGCAGAAGTGGGTATTCTTAACACCCCAGTCTGTCCCTGAATGGATGATTCTTCTGTATTTGGTAGAAAACAGTATAAAGCATGTGGATGTTTTATGTTCAAATAAAAATAAATGATAAATGATGCCTGGCTGCCTCAGTCAGTAGAGCATGTGGCCTTTGATCTTGGGGTTGTGAGTTCGAGCCCCACAGTGGATGTAGAGCTTATTTAAAAAGAAAAAAAAAATGATATTACTATCTAGCATTTTAATTACCCTCATAAACATCTGATGACATTGCAAATATTCCTTTCCTCTTACAACATGACTTTCAATGAGTATTCATCAGGCATCCACTATATGCCAGCCATTGTCCTAAGAACTGGGAATACCAGTGTTGAGCAAAAACAGGCACGGTCCCTGCCCTCATGGTGTTACGGCTTTGGGTCCTTGCTCTTAGGACAATCCTGGACCCTGATTCGGTGGATGGAAATTTCTTTCTTTTTTTTTTTTCAAAGATTTTATTTATTTATTTGACAGTGAGAGACACAGCAAGAGAGGGAACACAAGCAGGGGGAGTGGGAGAGGAAGAAGTAGGCTTCCTGCTGAGCAGGGAGCCCAACGCAGGGCTTGATCCCAGAACCCTGGGATCATAGCCTGAGCTGAAGGCAGACGCTTAACGAATGAGCCACCTAGGCGCCCTGGTGGATGGAAATTTCATTCAGTATAATAACAGGGAGACTGTGAAGACCTGCAACCAAAACATTAACCTTACTCATTAAAGGATCATTTCAAGAGGTCGAGGACAGAGAGAGGATGGGAAAGAGGAAGAAGAGCATGAGCGAAGGATATGTCAGATGGCAGTTCACAAATGAACATCAATTTCATCTGCTGCATTTTATAGTAATAATTTATTATTTATAATATTATAAATATATTATAGGTGTCCCTATAGTAATAATTTCTTTTGCGTAAGATGCTAACTACCTAAATCAATACCTTAATGCTCTTCAGTGCTCCTTAGTTTTTAAAATAACTTGAATATACATTACATAAAAGCATCAGGTGTCTTAATTCCATGGCTATTAATCAAAGGTGACTATCAAATATCAGCGATAAAAAATTCCAGAAATTAGCAAAACAAAATTTTGGCAACACTAATCTTGCCATCTTATTTTTAGCTACATTTCACATTAGGTAGCACTGTCAAAAGAGGGGGTGGGGAGAATGTTTGGAAAGGAGCAAAGATTGGACAGAATTGAATCAGTAGCTTTTGCCTGTATTTTCTACATTCTCTACTTGACATGTTTAGACTGAAAATTGAACGTCTAGTGTTTGCATCTTTATATTTCCTTTTTTTTTCCTTTTTAAGTAGGCTCCATGCCCAACGTGGGGCTCGAACTCACTACCTGAGATCAAGAGTCAGAGTTGCATACTCTCCCGACTGAGCCAGCCAGGTGCCCCCGCCCCCATATTTCCTTCTGATTTAAGCTGGCAAAGATATATAATTCCCCAAGCCCAGGAGTCTTTGATGCAATTAATTACTGAAAAGTTAGTTGCTGCAAGAAAAACCAAATCAGAATGTGAGAATTAGTAATTTGGGGCTCCTTTTATGCCTGGAGTTATTTCTTCTGAAGACTGAGGAAAGGCCTGTCATCCTAAAATACAGCTTTGCTGAATGAAATATTCAATCATGAATTTATTGTGTAGAAACAGGTGCATGCACATTTGTCAAACACATGAAGATAAAAAATTATTCCTAAAGGATGAGAATGAGCTTAGGAAAAACTGAACAGTCTACAAACCCCCCAAGAGATTAAGTTCCAATAGGGATCAGTACACAGTTGTACACTTGGGATGGGAATGGGAGAAGGGGAATGACCCAAAGAGAGAGGCTAGCGGAGTAGGGACAAGTAATTCCAGAAAAAAAGAAAACTTAGTAGAGATGAAACGTTTCCCAACAGGTAAACAGACTGAAGGTTTATCAAGTTATTGCCTTCAAGGGGAAAAAGAGAGCACTTAATTGGTTCAAACTGTACCTTAAGGGAATCTGGTTAGATAGACCTTCTACTCCAGAAATATTTATCATTGTATCTGAAAGGAGACTAAGCTTAGCACCTTCTACTATGTCTTAATGATACAAAGAATTAAAACCCTACCTAAAAGTGAAGCATGGAGTCAAGTTCTCAAGCCCTTCTATAGCTACAGTCTTCATGATTTGTTTTTTGCAATTAAGTTTATGCAACTGGTATTTACCTACAGACAAAACAGCTTGATTTTAAAAAGGGATCAAAACCCCCACGAAAGCAGTGACTCCCTGCAAGGAGTTTCACTTAATTAAAGTCATTTTCACTTCTACTGGGATGGAGTCTGTGTTGTCCCTTAGGAAGACGGTCTCTTTTTGGAAGGACTGTATTAGCCTAGGGCCCCAGAACTTCTGTCCATGGTACTAAGATGCTGGCAGCCCTTTCTAGAAACAACAGTAGGGCAATTGAAACTGCACTATTTTGGGGAGCACCTGGAGTCAGTGGGGTCAGCCCAATTCTGCTGAGGGATGGGGTCTTTGTTCTTATGCTCTCATTAACTGTGAGACCCTGAGGCAAGCCACTCATCAAGTCCTTTGTTTCTTCTGTAAAATGGAGAAATAAACCATATGCTGTCTATGCAAGACCCAAGGGAGAAGTGATTTCCTTTACACTCTTCTGCTTCATGACTTAAAAAAAAGATGGACTCCAAAGGCATATTGTCTTTATCTTATTCAAACAAGAGATGAAGTACATTTGTGTATCTTCCCAAATTGATGAGACAACAAACTCTGCTTTAAGAATTAAGGGAGCTATATAATACTCTATTTTATGTGAAACTGTGAAAAATGATTTCAACCTCCTTTGATCAGACCAAACCACTGATTCACACTTTGATTTTTCAAGAATGGAAAAGGAAGGAGAGTGAATGGGGAACAACGTAATAAAGCAGTTTATGCCCATTTGTAAGAGGAGAAATAAAATGAAAGCTTCCCGAAGAGAACCAGAACCTCAGAGCAAGCAATTAAGACTGTTAAAATCTACCAAAACATCCTGGAAAAGCTGCTATCTGAAATAAATCAAACAGTTCAATAGTTTCAAAGATGAAGAGTATTGAGACAGATATCTTTCTCTTATTTAAAAAAAAATTTTTTTAGGTTTTATTTATTTAAGCAATTTCTACACCCAACTTGGGGCTGGAACTCAATGACCCAGAGATCAAGAGTCACATGTTCTTCTGACTGAGCCAACCAAGCACCCTTCTTTCTCATTTTTCTTTTAATTTTGTTGTTGTTGTTTTGAGCCAGATTCTAAGGCGAGTAGAGGCAGATCTCTCAAGATTCCAGCAAGGAAGATGATACCATCAAACCCTGCTCAGCAGACTTCAAGGTGTGTTTGATCACACAGAGCCTAACTGCTGCTTAGGAGTTGCTAAGTTATGAGAAGCTCGTTCTATCCTACCCTCTGCTAGCTGAAAGTCCTGAGATGGGTTTTATCTAAAAACATTACAAGGAAAGTAAACGATGAGGCAAACTCTGTCAACAGTGAAGCCATCTGCTGGGCAGATCCAGAAGGGTCATCCAGCAGTCTCTCAATGGGATGTTCTACCAAAATGTGTCAGTAACAGAGGTTTAAATTTAGTAGCCATGCAACATGGTGGCAAGTTCCACATCAACCAACAGACAGATCCAATAAGCCAGAGAGCCAGAGAGTTTGAAGGGATAACGAACTGGCCAGTTGGCCTTTTTTAGCCCATGCCGCAGCTTTATTAACTAAGCGGGGGGAGGTCAAGTAAGTGACTGAGCAGTTCATTAGGATCCAGAGATACATGGGCAGCTGTTGACGTTCACCCTCTTCTGCAGTAGGAACTGCGATGGGGACTTGGGATAGAGGGGCCAGGGGAACACAGAGGCAATGGTGGGGAGAGGGACAGAGGTGCGGGGGAAATGGTGTCTTCTCTTCTGTCCTCAGTGGACAGGAGTAATGAGAAGGTCATTTCTGAAGATCTGCTAGCACTCCACGCATGCAGGTGGGTGGCCGACCACATCTCCAGGGTAACTTCCGGTTGTGCATCAGCAGCACGTTTTAGAGCCGTTAGAGGACCTCACACCAATGAGTCCTTGGACGGGGTCAGCCATGCTGCGGGCGGGAGAGGAAATGTCCTGTGCGCTGCCCACAGATCAGACCGCGCACAGACGTGAACATCAGGCAGCTCCGTCTCGCTCGGAGCTGCTTCACTGTTTCAAAGCCCATGAAGCCACAGGAAAGTGAAAGCTGAGACACAAAATAAGACAACTCTTTCCAGACCCGAGAATACGGTTTGTTTGTTTTTTATGTTTTTTTTTAACTGAGGTATCATTGATAATTCGAAGTGCCTGGTATACAGCGTCTTAAAAACTACACTCAAATCGATAATTTGAAAACCAAGCGCTGGGGAATGACTGTTTTACAGGCAAAGTTTCCACCTACCTGTGGATGAAGTACAGATAAGTCATCCCCAAAGCAAGACCGACACCAGTGGGGTTGGGACCTATTTTGCCAGCAAATGAGAACAGGCGACCTGAGATGCCGAGCAGGCGGTGGGGGCACCAAGGGCTCGTAGCGGGGCTACAAACTACAGAATAAGCTGGACAAGGGCATCAGGCAGCATCAGGCAACGCGGAAGGAGCTTTCAAACACACCCACGGCTAAGTGCATGATTACTCACTCCAAGTAGGTGCAACTCCTCTAGGTAGATTAACTTCAGAATCTGGGCAATGTGCATCGGCACATTAGAAAGATTCACAATCAGTGACGGTGATCTCATTTACACTTTTTAAAGACCAGAACCCGGAAGAGTGCCCTTTCCCCCCTTTCTAAGCAGGCTGCTACTGAGCAAAAAGATAAATAAAACCGAATGGACACTTAGGAAAAAACCACAGGTCATGGCCACACTCATGCAAGATTTCATTACCGGTGATCACGTTAAAAGAAAAGCAAAAAGCAAAGCAAAAAGACCCAGTCCATTCTCTTCACGCCTCCTACGGGATCTGGACGAGCGTCTGTGAAAGGGCCTCAACCCACCACCAGGCAAGACGACAGAAGCGGTTCCCGAACTTACAATCTCCTTCTCGTGCTTGCTACTGTGTTCTACTGGTATACTGCTGCCCTCGCCTCCGGAGGGCACAGTGCAGCCCGGGCTACGTGCCTGAGGTGGAGGCATGCTCTGCAAAGGTCAAGACACACAGATGCATCACATACAGAAGACGCCGACAGCCCAGATACACAGCAAGTACGTGCCGGTTAGAAAAGCAGCGCGAACACGTCTACTCCCGGGCGAGGAGTGCACCCTGGCTGCGGTTAAACCACCGACGGACTCTGACGAGACCACACACACCCCACGGCAAATCGCATCCTTGGTTTTATCAACGTAAAAATAAGTAAACAATAAATAAATAACGCCTGTCACGTTTTCCAAACGCCCAGGGAACGGCTCCTTCTCACTTGGAAGAGCCGTAAACGCACAGAAAGGAACATCAAGAGCACCACGCGAGAAACCCCGCCATGACCCCGTGCGACCCACACGCGTCCACAGGCACGGCTCCTGCCCCCCACGCAACACGATTCTGCTCTACTTTCCACACGGTAGAGACGCGCAGCACTTACCTCCTGGCTGAGGAGCGGCCTCGCTTCAAGGGCTATCCTTTTCTTGTGTTCCTCCTTTACAGGCATTAAGGGTTTGAAAAACTTTGGTGGCTGGGGAGAGAATGCTTTAAAAGGACTGACTGTTAAGGCGTGGGGGTTCTCTGATGGACAACCTGGGGAAGACAAACAGGCACGGATTGACGGGCACACCGGAAGCACAGGCATCACCTAGGCACGGGAATATCTGGTTCGACAAAGAAATTACCAGGCTAATATTTGGCTGCAGATTAAAACCGGTGGGGGCAAGAGTGGAGATGTAGCTACCAAGTCCCAAAGAGTCAGCATCGAAGAAAGCAGAAACTGAATTTTCCACCTTCTTTTCAAGATCCCTCTGAAGCGCTGCCTACTAGACCGATTTCAACGCATGCTGATTTTCCGTTGCTCTGAAATTCCGGAGTCTATTAGCCTTCCATACATTTGGGCACATTTTCATTGCAATATCTTATTTTCTATGTTTCTCATTCCATAGTTCCATTTCAGGATCTAGAATGGCACCTTATCGTATCTTTCACTGCGTATAGCACGTAGAGGCTCAGTAAATATTCAAGGAATGGATACTGTCTGCACTTTTTTGCAAGCCCTGTTTTTCCTCAGGCCACCTTCTCCATATGTCTAAGGAAGAACAATTCTGCTCTCCTGCTCTGACTCATTTCTTACTTTTGTGGAGCCTCTTTCCCTCCTTCTGCATTTTCTTCCCAATTCACTGGTACGATATCATTTAGTAGGCAAAATATATGGTGTAAGGTAATAGAACTGATTCACGTTTTCAAAGAATACTATTCGTCTCAGGGCACTGGGAGATTATACAGTTAGGTAATAATGCTGTCACTGATCAAACTCATTTCTGGTACCATTTTTGAAACTGCTTTAGAAATCAAAAAATTCTCATAAAAACTCTTTTGAGTACAAAAAAGCATTACACAGGTAGATACTCTTTTGGTAAAAAATGAAGTCTAACCACAATATAGTAAGATTTGTTTTTGTCTCAAAAGGGACTTCAAATTCAGGAAATGGTGTGGGAAAAATGATTTGAAAATTCTGAAGTGCTACACAAAAAGCCTATTATTATTATCTGGATGATATACCGGATCCAAAAGCAAAAAGAAATCAAGTAAGTGGACATGACATATTCTCTTCAAGAATACAGTTTAGAATCATCCAGCACATTAGAATTTCAGGTTCCTATCTTATTAAATGCCACCTACAAAAGAACTTCCCCCCATGCTTTTCCTAAGAAATTATAAAGAAAGAACACAGAAAAACAATCTCACCACTACTTTCTTTACTCCTTCGAGGCGAATCCCTGGGTAAAGTTCCGTAACAGGCTATATCTTGGTAACTGGAGCTATAGTCAGACATGTCTAATTGGTTCTCTAGCCAACCCTACAAGGGAAAGATACGGGTTAGCTGTAATTAAGTCCCTTTAAAATGAGAAGTGAAGCCCAGATTTGAGTTTTTTCCTATTTTTTAATGGCAGTACATGCTCTTCTTTCTTTTATTTTTATTATAAAGTATTTCAAACATACAGAAAAGTATGAATGGCTGAATAATATGACAAATACTATCATACCCAGGGTAGAGCTAGAGTCTTAATGTTAATAATCCTATCATATTTGTCCAAGATTTAATAAAATTATAACAAATGGAATAAAATCCCCTGAATCCCTAAGGTCCCACCCATTTTCCTCCCTCCCCTGCAAAGGGAGCCACCTTGATAAATTTGGTATGTATCTAGGGTGACTGAATAATTTAGAGACCACAGTGAAACGCTTTTTGGAGTGAATGGGTTCCACTAATAATTTCGCCCGGGTAGCAGGCATACGCTAGGACTGCCCCAGGCAAACCAGACCTGAGAGTTAAAAGGATCAAACTAGCATAAAATATTGGTACACTAAGGAAAGAAAACTCCATTTGTGTATCATATAAACTTATTTAATCTTACGCAACTTCTCAGGAGTTGGCTGCCTAAAAGACTGGATTTTAAACTCTTGATGACATAATCCATGTTTTACTCTTTGAATCACTCAGTCCCTCACATAATAACGTAAATATAATATACGCTCCAAGCAATATTTGCTGAGAAAGGTCATGTTGCAAAATATCCTTATTTTTAGACACCTAATTTGCCTAGTTGAATTAATTTTGATTATGCGATGGTAGATATAATACTTTTTTTTTCCTTTTTTGTTTTTTGTTTTCTTTTTAAATTCACATATAATGTGGGCGCCTGGGTGGCTCAGTTGGTTAAGCGGCTGCCTTCGGCTCAGGTCATGATCCCGGAGTCCCTGGATCGAGTCCCGCATCGGGCTCCCTGCTCGGCGGGGAGTCTGCTTCTCCCTCTGACCCTCCCCCCTCTCATGTGCTCTCTCTCTCATTCTCTCTCTCTCAAATTAAAAAATAAATAAATACATTCACATATAATGTGTTATTGGTTTCAGAGGAACAGGTTTGTGATTCATCAGTCTTTTTTTTTTTTTTAAAGATTTTATTTATTTATTTGACACAGAGAGAGAGAGAACAGTAGGCAGAGAGGCAGGCAGAGGCAGAGGGAGAAGCAGAGTCTCCCCGCTAAGCAGGGAACCCGATGTGGGGCTCGATCCCAGGCCCCTGGGATCATGACCCGAGCCGAAGGCAGCGGCTCAACCGACTGAGCCACCAGGCACCCCTGTGATTCATCAGTCTTATATAACACCCAGTGCTCATTATAACACATACCCTCCTTAATGTCCATCACTCATTTACCCCATCCCCCTATCCCCCTCCCCTCCAGCAAACCTCAGTTGATATAATACTTTCTTAAATCACTGAGTGAGACCCATAAACACACAAATGTTCAATTTGGTGTCGTACTATGCTGGTATGGAAAATATGCTAGGTACAATGTTAACACTGAGTGCATAGCAATTTCACATCAAGTATTTGAACCTGGAAATGGACGCGTGGAGACAATGACCAGCATAAGATTAAGATGGGAAGTCCTGAGATTTTAAAAACACCAAGATACCCTAACTTTTCAGACTTCGACTCTGCTAGTAACCTAGCCATGCCCACACCACAGGTACACACCTTATCATCTTCATCAAAGCCAGAAAGGTCTGGTCGACTGGAGGAGACCTGTAAGAGAGCCATGGTTTCATCAATGTGGTTTATGTATTTAACATAAATTACACAGAAATACAGAAATGTAATGTCACATTTACAGTTGAAGCCTGTATGAAGAGTCTCAACTCCCTCTTCTTTCTACAATCCTCAGGAATAACAACCACACTAAATTTGGGGTTGATTATTTCCATACAGGCTTTGTATAGTTCTTATATTCATAAAATTGATTTATATATAAAAATATATGCACATATTATATCTAAATATAATGTATATGCACATGTAATATATATTTTGCATATTTTTATCATTAAAATAAGTGGTATCTCACCATACATGGTCTTTTTCATTAGTTTCAGAATTTATTTGTTCTATTCTAGATAGGTATCTAAGCTCCTTCTAATTTTTTTCTATTACAAACTCTGATAAAATAAATTATTATTATTGTCCCTAAGTATCACTCTAGCTGTATCCCACAATGATTGACATGTATACCATTTCAACATTATTTAGTTCTAAATCCATCCTATGTTTCTTTTTTATTCTAAGTTTATTTATTTATTAATTTAAGTAACCTCTACACCCAACAAGGGGCTCGAACTCACCACCCCAAGACTGAGGATCGCATGCTCTGATTGAGTCAGCCAGCCAGGAGCCTCCTCCTACGTTTCTATGAGGAGCTCTAAAGGGTATGTGAAGGCTTGGAATCTCTGGGCTGTAGATAACGCATATGCACCTTCAACTCTGCTCTCCCATAGCAATTCTGGGGTTAGCTTATGAAATCCTATAAGAAATTATGCTGGGAATTTATAGATTAGTTTAAGGAGATGTGCCAATTTTTTGGATACTGTGTGTTCCCATCAATGAGCACAGTCTCTCTTTCTGTGAGTTTACGCTTTATTAATGGTGATAGCTGTATTCAGATTTGGTTTTTGTAAGAAAATTCCATTTTGTTGAAGCTTGTTTTACATTTACTGCTATAACATTATTCATAGTTTGCTCTTACACTGTCGAAATCTGTCGTGATACGTCCCTTTTTATTGTCAATAATATTGGAATTAATATCCCAATATTTTCTCTCCTTCCCCAATTAATCTTAACTAGAAGTCAGTCAGTCTATTTGACCAGTCTTTTCAAAAAGCCCACTTTTCAGCTTTGCTGATTCTATTGTTGGTTTTCTATTTCATACATCTCTGTTCTAATCTTCATACACCTTCTTTGAATTTATTATAATTCTGCTCTAGTATTATTACCTTTAAATTTTTTTTATTTTGATTTTGTTTTTTTGATTTAAAAATCTTTTGTCCATAAATACTTCTCTGTGAATCTCTAAAAAATACATTACTCCTCCTCTCTTTAAAAAAACCATAACCACAGGGGTCCTGCCTGGCTCAGTTGGAGGAGCGTGCGATTCTTGAGTCATGAGTTCAAGCCCCATGTTGGATGTAGAGATTACTTAAAAAAATAAAATCTTAAAACAAAAACAAAACTAGAATATCATTATCACATTGTAAAAAATTAAATGATTCCTAGATAGTAACCGATATCCCCCAGTGTTCAAATGTCTCAGACACATTGTCAGTTAATTCTGAATCAGGATCACAATAGTTCACACGTTTTCCTTTTTCTATGTCATTTGTTCCTATAAAGTTTCCCTTTGCTAATGGAGTTCCTTAGGTGTCACTTAACATTCTCTTCTGTCCCCCGTAAATATCAGCAGTCAGATTCAGAGTCTTGATCAGATGTAGGTTCATTTTCTAGGGGGCTAGGAGTGGGGACAGAATACTCCTTTAGGTGATCTGTCTTTACCTTTTAGCACAGATGTTTCCCTCCATGTTTTTTACTCTTCTTTTTAATACAAGATCCACACATCCCTAAGAGTGGCTCTTGTTCTTTCATTTTTCTCTACTGTCTAGCATTCGGCAGTAGAAATGGAATAATAGGGAACTCAGAGCCTAGTTTTCCTCTAAGTACTTCACCTGCATCCCACAAGCACTGATGTGTGTACCAGTTTCTATTTTTCAGTTTACACTGTATGAGTCTCTTATTATCAGTTTCTAAATAACCGCACTGTGGTCAGAAGTAACCTGTATGTACACCACTATAGGGATGTGCTGGGACTGGCTCTGTGGCCTGCTCTGAGACAACGTTTACATACGTTCACCATGTTTTTAATCATTTCCTGGCAATTCTGGAGAGGAACAAGGTAATGATACTGTGCCCTTCCTTGAGAGGATCTTTTATTCTGCTGCTTCTGGAGAAGAGACTGCTTTGAAATTGTCCGTGCACTAGTTTGTCCCGGGACCGTGTCCCCTCCACTAAGCAGTTCCTGTCAATTGGATTTTCTACATGAACTGGTTAAGAATGAGAATCAAATGGTCAATGGAGAGACCACGGACCAGGGAAGCGTGGACACGGAGGTACCCAGCGCTCTATCACACTGACGGGCAGCACAGGAAAATCCACCAGGGCGACAAGGACAGAGCAGCACCCAGCCAAGTGCTATAGCGAACTCTGCCACCCTTAAACCAACTACGTTCCATTTAGGTCTCAAGAAACGTCTTTCAAGGACATAACTTTCTGAAGAGAAATCCGGAAGATTCCACTAAAGGCGCGGGCATGGGATCGTAACTGCACTCTGGTGTGTTTCCCTGGGAGGAGAGGCTTGGCTGTCCGGGATGCCCACGCCAGGACCCATGTGCCCCCCTCAAACCCTGAGACATGTCACAGAAGCAACAGACCCTCCACAGGGGGTGCTCACATTATGAACGTTCGGTGTGCTGAGACTCCTCCTCAGGTGCCGAGCTTTGGTGGACAGAGCTTCTTTGACCGTGACCGCCTGCAAAGGTCAAGGTAACATTTTTTTCCCCCTCTGATGACAAATCATATGTTTGTTGTGGAAGGTTTAGAAAATATAGAAAGACACATCATTTTAATGCCACACTCCCTCCCATAGTTACAAAAGCTGGACTCTTATGGTCCTCACTAATTTTTCTTTCCTTAATCTACCAAAAATGCTTTCCATACACAAAACCAGGACAACTGCTGAACTAAAGACATTTTTTTTTTTTTTAATTTATTTATTTGACAGAGAGATAGTGACAGCAGGAACACAAGCAGGGGGAGGGGCAGAGGGAGAAACAGACTCCCCGCTGAGCAGGGAGCCCGATGCGGGACTCGATCCCAGGACCCTGGGATCATGACCTGAGCTGAAGGCAGACGCTTAACGACTGAGCCACCCAGGCACCCCTGAACTAAAGACATTTATGTGGTAGATTTTTTACAGAGGTAGACAGAGAAAACAGAGAAGAAATACCCCTAACAATAGAGCTCATTTGCAAAATGACCATCAACTTTTATGCTGTTTGTGTTTTATTCACGCAGCAATTTCGGGGGGATTTCCACTAAAGGCAGATTTTTCTGACAGATGCCAATCTTAGTCCTCTTGTTGCTCACAATGCACTTTCCATGAACTTCCAACTGCTGCTTCTATGGATGACAACTCCTGTCTCAGAGTTCCACTGCCTAGTGGGTTAGTTTCATGGGAATGTCCTGCTACTGTTGCAGAAGTTAACCTAGACCCCCCAAAATTAGGGAAATAGTAACAGCATGTGGCTAAGCACATGGACTCTGGAGTCAAGCCTTCCTGGTTTACAACCAACTTTGTACCAACTTAGCGGTGTAGCCTTGGGCAGGCTAGCTAACTTCCGCGGGCCTCAATTCTCTCACGTAGAAAAGGGGATTCTGACAGTGTCTATCTCCCTAGCAGGGCCATCTTGAAGATTAAATGAAAGAATGTTATCTAAATTACTTGGGCAGAGTGCTTAAGTAGAAGGTACTGAATAGAATGCAGACATTATTTTCATTTTTGCTACTTTGTCTGAAGAGATTGCTACTCAAGTTTTCCTTCTCTGATAGATGCAGAGGGAAGGTGTTTGGTAAATAAATTCGTCCTTGTCCACTTGGTGGTGGGGAGGCTAGTGCTCTCGCCCTCTGGTCCGGATGCTGTTTCTACTTGCCTGCCGGAGCCGTTCAAGGCTCAGAATGTTCTCCACCTGCAGCACGCCACGCGTGTATTTCTCTATGTAGGTCTCCCCATCTGAAGTGCCTTCATTTTCACTCCTTGCTGCCATGAGAGCCAGGGTTTCCCGGTCCTCAATCTCCTCTGTTGCCTGAAGGGACAAGAAGATTATTCACTTTCTTTCTTTTTTTTTTTTAATTACAATACTTTCATGTGAACAATATTTTTATCCAAATTGTGGTGAGAAATTATTTAGAAGTTCTAAGAATCAACAAATTCTCTAACACTTCTATTTCGATATTTTTAAAAAGTAATATATATTTACCTTTGGTATATTGGATACTATTTCATAGGTTACACCACAGGAATAAAATATATTCTTCAATGATATTCTCCTCTTCAGACTCTGGGTGAAGCTCTGGTAGGAAAGGAAAGCTGAATTAAGCGATGTGAAATACGTAAGTTATTCGGCATTTTACAAATTGTAGAAGCATTATCAAGTACTGTGTTTTTGATACACATACAACAACTCAGAAAAACGGAACTGAAAAATCCTTGCCTCTGACCGTGAAGGACAACAGTGTCCTTCATTTGGGGATTTTAGGATTTGTAGTCCATTCAGGGATTTTGGGGGTTGTGCTTCTTTCTCATTGGCAGCCTTCCTTTTGATCTTGATAGGGTTATTTATTTAAAGATTATTATTTTTTTTAAAAAGATTTTATTTATTTCTTGCCTTGTCAATTTTTGCCATTCTAAATGGTGTAAGGTGGTATCTCAATGTGGTTTTGATTTGAATTTCCCTGATGGCTAATGATGATGAACATTTTTTCATGTGTCTGTTAGCCATTTGTATATCTTCTTTGGAGAAGTGTCTGTTCATGTCTTCTGCCCATTTTTTGACTTGATTATTTGTTTTTTTGGGTGTTGAGTTTGAGAAGTTCTTTATAGATCTTGGAAATCAGCACTTTGTCTGTAGTGTCATTTGCAAATATCTTCTCCCATTCTGTGGGTTGCCTCTTTGTTTTGTTGAGACTGTGGACTCCAAGAAACAAACTGAGGGTTCTAGAGGGGAGGGGGGGAGGGGGATGGGTTAGCCCAGTGATGGGTATTAAAGAGGGCACGTACTGCATGGAGCACTGGGTGTTTTACAAAAACAATGAATCGTGGATCACTACATCACAAACTAATGATGTATTGTATGGTGACTAACATAATAAAATTATATTAAATTAAAAAAAGATTTTATTTATTTATTTGAGAGAGGAAGACAGAGAAAGAGAGCACTAGCGGTGGGGAGGGGCAGAAGGAGAGGGAGAAGCAGACTGTCCATGGAGCAGGGAGCCCGATGCAGGACTCAATCCCAGGACCCTGGGACCATGACCTGAGCCGAAGGCAGACGCTTAACGACTAAGCCACCTATTTATTTTAGAGAGAGAGCGCGCACAAGCAGGAAGGACAGGAGGAGGAGAGAGAATCTCAAGCAGAGTTGGACGCTCAACTGCCTGCACCACCCAGGCGCCCCAAGATCTTGATAGGGTTTAATCAATCCTCGTATAGAAGAAAACTGGAGAGGGTCCATTTTGTTGGCAATACCTGTGGGATGAGATCTGGGAAGCAGCAAGGATTTTTTTTTTTTTTTTTACTAATTTATTTATTTGACAGAGAGAGACACAGCGAGAGAAGGAACACAAGCAGGGGGAGTGGGAGAGGGAGAAGCAGGCTTCCCACCGAGCAGGGAGCCCGATGCGGGGCTCGATCCCAGGACCCTGGGATCATGACCTGAGCCGAAGGCAGACGCTTAACGACTGAGCCACCCGGGCGCCCCAGCAGCAAGGATTTATTTTGGGCCTGCCCCTTGTCCTGTTTTGTCACTAAACTCCTTGGCCTTGGCACTTAGCCTTTTTCAAACAGTGACGTCATAGCTCTACTGTCTCCTAGGATTATGGGTCTCAAACCGGCCAAGGGGGAACGTCCTTTGGTGGGTGACATCCACCTGTGCTGTCCTCATGCCCCGTTATCTGCGGTCAATAAGAATCAGGCTGTAACTTGGCTAGTGTGGTGACAATTTGCACGTCCACTGTATCAGCACCACAAAACATGGTTCAGCTTTATGACAGAGGGAAGAAAGAAACTTTGAGCTCATGTAGGCAACAGCAGAATCAGACCCCATTACTACCTGTTTGTTGTAAATATTGGCTGCAATCCGTTTTCGTAATACTAACTCCATAGCAGCCGGGTGGCTGAGCTGGACCGTGGTTTTCACTATCAGGTAAATCCTTTCGTTCTGCGGCGTGACCCTATTCAGGTGAACGGAATCATGCACTGAGGAGTCCCAGGAGGCTGTGGCTGAAACCTAAGAACAGGAGAAGGGTTGGGGACAGGGAAAAGACCCAGCTCAGGGGCTGAGGTTCGACATCACACATGAGAATGAGAAGAGAAACGCAACCCCACTGAATCATACGTGTTTCTCCTCACTTTTTCTGAGCGACAACACACATTCAACTTTTTAAAGGCCCCAGTCCTCTCCCCCAAAGCAGACCACAGCAGTTTAACGGGAAGATAGGCCCATAGGCAGGTGCACTCATCTGAAGCCCAGGAAGAGAACCACAGGGGTCAATTACCTCCTCATCACTGTGCTTTATGATGGGCAGGTAGAAAAACTGGCTGCCGTGCTCCTTGGGCAGGATGGAGTTGACGCCCGACGCGTGGGGGCCCACGAGCTGCTCGTTAGCACTGAGGTCATCGGCTGACCACGTCCAGGGCACAGAAACAGAAGTGGAAGGAAAAGTCACTTTTTAAGCAAGCACTGAAAATTTTTATTTTATTATTATTATTTTTTAAAGATTTTATTTATTCATTTGACAAAGAGAGACAGCGAGAGAGGGAACACAAGCTGGGAGAGTGGGAGAGGGAGAAGCAGGCTTCCCGCTGAGCAGGGAGCCCGATGCGGGGCTCGATCCCAGAACTCTGGGATCGTGACCTGAGCCGAAGGCAGATGCTTAACCGACTGAGCCACCCAGGCGCCCCAGCACTGAAAATTTTTAAATATGCTTTCCACAGATGACTTTTTGCACTTTCATTTTTTTCTTTCCTTCCTTATCCCACAGTGGAAATAGAGATGCTAATTCCTCACAATAGGTCTTATCCTTTCCAGAAACAACTATGAGAGCCAAAAAGGTACCCCATGAGTCTCTAATAAAAGAGACAAATATATTCCATATGCAATCCTAGGAGCAGAGATTTTCTCTACAAAAACACAGCTGAGACTCCTACTTTCTGAGGTCAAATCTCCGTGTAACCTGGTGTCACGCTTGCGTCCTACTTATACAACTTACACATGATTAGAGATTTGAACAGCTAAATAATCAATCTGGAATCAAGTTCCAAGCACTTGGGCGAAATACAAAGATCATCTTCTTCCAATGCCCTAAGCCATGTGGGATTCACCCTTCACAAATTTCTATACGTGGTCATCCAACCATTATGCGTATCCCTCCAATAACAGGGAGCCCATCGCTTCATGAGGCACACGTCCTACTTCCAGGATCTTAAACAATTCTTCCTAGGAAGAGCCAAAGTCACCCTCCCCAGGGCCCTCCCTCCAAAAGACAGGTTTCCAGGCTGTGTTTTGAGATTCCAGGGGCCGTGTGCGGAAGAGCTTGCCTGAGCCCGCCCATCACCCCACTTGGCAACTCTGCCTTTGTAGTCTACATACAGGCTTCCATTTAAGATTTCATTCTGAAAGTGGATTTTCCTGCTAAAATACACTGAGGACCATCATTCTTGGTTCACGCAGGTTCAATCCAATCGCTACAGTAAAGAACAACCCTTAATGCAGGGTTTACAGTGTAATCACATTCTGGCATCGGCGCTATGGCGGAGGGGGGCGGGGGGAATGGCTCTAATCAGAAATGCAGATTCCTAGGGCCCCGCAAGCCTAAAGGTTCAGAATCTCTGAGGGTGATTACTTTCTCAGGTAATTCTTTTTTTTTTTTTTTTTAGGTTTTATTTATTTATTTGAGAGAGAGAGAATGAGAGACAGAGAGCATGAGAGGGAGGAGGGTCAGAGGGAGAAGCAGACTCCCCACCAAGCAGGGAGCCCGCCCGATGCGGGACTCGATCCCGGGACTCCAGGATCATGACCCGAGCCAAAGGCAGTCGCTTAACCAACTGAGCCACCCAGGCGCCCCATCTCAGGTAATTCTTGTGTCCACTGATGTCTCTCAACTGTAACTGTTTGTTTTTTTTTTTTTTAAAGATTTTATTTATTTATTTGAGAGAGAGAGAATGAGAGAGAGAGAGCATGAGAGGGGGGAGGGTCAGAGGGAGAAGCAGACTCCCTGCTGAGCAGAGAGCCCGATGCGGGACTCGATCCCGGGACTCCAGGATCATGACCTGAGCCGAAGGCAGTCGCTTAACCAACTGAGCCACCCAGGCGCCCTCAACTGTAACTGTTTTGACATTTTTGAGTTACGACATCTCTCTCATAACTCTGAGAGTTATCTCTCGTAACTTTTTTTTTTTTTAAGATTTTATTTATTCATTTGAGATACAGAGAGAGAGAGAGCATGAGCAATGGGAGAGGCAGAGGGAGAGGAAGAAGCAGACTCCCTGCTGAGCCAGGAGCCCGATGTGGGACTCGATCCCAGGACCCTGGGATCATGACCTGAGCCGAAGGCAGTCACTTAACCAACTGAGCCACCCAGGCGCCCCTCTCTCGTAACTCTTTTTAAGACTAAATATCCACTTCGCTCTTCCAGTGATGCTACACGTCAAGGTTTATACATTTGGTTGGACTAAAAATGTCACCTAGACACAGCATACGAGTGATTAGAAAAGTCATTTAAGGAATCAAAATCAGGTGGGTCTGAAAAGATTACAAACCTAAATGAAACGCGAGGGCCCCTCGAACACGGATCTGCTTACCGTTCAGATCAAGGAAGAGAACCGGTATGTGAGTTTCCATTCCAGGTGGTGGGACCCTAAATTTAACAACAAAATTTAATCACAACAAATACGTGTTTTACATTGTGTTAGATGATCAAACACCACAGAGGCACGGAAGTGGAAAAGAACCACTATGGGGACAGAGATTCTATTCATGAAATATCTGCACTTTTTTTTTTTTTAAGATTTTATTTGAGAGAGAGGGAAAGCAAGCACAAGCAGGAGGGGGTAGCAGGCAGAGGGAGAAGCAGACTCCCCACTGAGCAGGGAGCCCAATGCAGGGCTCAATTCCAGGACCCTGAGATCATGACCTGAGCTGAAGGCAGATGCTTAACTGACTAAGCCACCCAGGGGCCCTATCTGCACATCTCTTGATGTCCCTGTTAACACACATCACGAGAATTATGTGACTTCCATAAAGAACCACCAGTTATATAAATCAGATGTAATTAATTGAAACAAAGATTATTTGATGGCTTTCTAGAAATAGTCCTAGTGATGGGAAAAAGGGAAGGGATGGTGTTAAGACTAGAGACAGGGGACAGGATCAGAACCCAGAGGAAGTAAACAAAAAAGACAACACTGAAAAAGCTTAGAGTATGAAAGACCTATTAAAGGAGGAAGGGTTGTCTATGAAAAAGACCAAAGCAGTGTTTTATCAAAAACTGGCCCATATGCATCTGAGTCACCGGGGGGGAGGCTCTGAAAATGAAAAGTCCTGGGCCCATCCTTCCTCTTGTAAATCAAAATAACGAGGGACAGGACCCAGGACTCCACATTTTACAAACAGTCAAGATGGCCTGAAGTTTGGAAATGGCTCAAACGAAAGTGACTGGGCTAAGGAGAAGGGCTGTCTAGACAGGGCCTCAGGGAGCAGAACAAGACTGGGAATGAGGTGGCCATCTGCAACCATGTGGCTGGCAGACAGACGGCATGTGTGCCCTGCAGGACTCCGGGACTGTGGGAGAAACATCAGGTCACAAATTATGTGCCAGAAAATTCAGATTTGCTGGTTTCATAACACTATCAACTCCATTATACTTCCCTTTATCATTATAGACGCAAATAACAGCACTATGCTTCTGCGCCTACCCTAAAGAGACAATCTGGGCATGTACACCCTCTGTTCAAAAGGAGTCTGATTTCTCCTAAATGCCCAGGACATACTCTTGTAATAAGAATGAGAACGAGAATAAGCAGCAGGAGTAGTTACCACTTAACATATGGGCACCAACAAGGTGTTTTTAATATATTATCTCTAATCCTTTCAACAGTACCAAAAACGGGGCTCCATTCATAGATTAAGAATAAAGCCTTGGGGGTGCCTGGTGACTCAGTCGGTTGAGCGTCTGTCTGCCTTCGGCTCAGGTCATGATCTTGGGTTCCTGGGATCGAGCCCCGCATCGGGCTCCCTGCTCTGCTTCTCCCTCTCCCTCTGCTCCTCCCCACTGCACTTGCGCTCTCTCTCTCTCAAATAAATAAATAAAATCTTGAAAAAAAAAAAAGAACAAAGCCTCAGAGAAGTTAATGACATTTAACACTGCAGCTGGAAACTCAATCAGGATCTACCTGACTCCAGAGCCTAGGATACCATGCTGTTTCTGATGAGCATTGGGATGGACTGATTAACCAACTGACTGACCATGGTTATTTAGGGCTCAAGACCTGACTCTATGCTAGGGACCAAACTGAGCAGGCACGAGGGCTAAGAAGAAAATGTATTTTCTCCCCTCTTCAAGTAGACTCTGGATACACCCTTCTTTTAAGCCGAAATAAGAGAATTTCTGGAGATGAGGAAACCATGTCCAAGTTGCTCATGTGAAGAAATTGAGAAGTGTGGTATCTGCTTCCTGGCCAGGTAATCAACAGACGCTCCCCGGCTTCCTGGTAGAGGAAGCTGGCTGCCATGGGGAAGGAAAAAGGGAAGGCGGCACGAGACATGGGTGGTCCTTCCCTGAGCAGCTCACGGCACTCAGCATGGACTGTGACAGTCCTGGAAAGTCACTCGCACGACACTGGTGCAGGCCGTCCGCCCCACCCTGTCAGGCCACTCACCAGTGGGCGGGCGCCCCCGGAACCCCGCTGCCGGGGGCAGGCACCAGCACGGCGTTTCTCTCCTCGGTCAGGCCCACCCACTGCTCCACAAGCCGGGCTTCCCGCTCCACGTCGTCCTCCGTCTTCTCTGCAGGACAAAATGAGGGGATTAGCACCAAGACGGGGGAAAAGATAATTTCCAGATTTAAAATAAATAGGTTTTCACTTGGTGACATCCCCAAGTGGCTGGAACATCCATGATGTTCCAAAAAAGGATGGGAGGCTTTGAAGTTCCAGCCTGAGCACCCAGACAAGCTCAGAGAGGCTAGGATTCTCACTTGATGGACCTCCGGGTAGGGACATGGAAAAGAGCATCAGGACAGGGATGAGAACACGGGTTATGTTTCCTGGTTCTGTACTCTGGGGAAGTTATTCAACAAACGAGTCTGGGCTTCCTAATCCATCAAATAGGGCTCATACAAGTCATGTCTACTTTACACGCTTGTTGGAAAGATCCAGTGACATAATGCATGTGACATTGCTTTATAAAACTATACACCACTGTACAGAGGATTAAAACACGCCACACTCTGTAAGACTAACTTTATTGTCCTTTATGTTCCTTACTAAAGGGATTTTACAGAACATATTTTGAAACCCTCTGATTCAGGGCGCCTGGGTGGCTCAGTTGGTTAAGCGACTGCCTTCGGCTCAGGTCATGATCCTGGAGTCCCGGGATCGAGTCCCGCATCGGGCAGGCTCCCTGCTCGGCGGGGAGTCTGCTTCTCCCTCTGACCCTCCTCCCTCTCATGCTCTCTGTCTCTCATTCTCTCTCTCTCAAAAAAATAAATAAAATCTTTAAAAAAAAAAAAAAAAAAGAAACCCTCTGATTCATAATTCCACCCTGGAGCTATCTGGGTAGAGTCAAAGCGAGTTTCCATCAGCAGATTGAGCACATAGACAAACTGACATCAAGAACGCTGAGCCAAGATGTTCTACTGAGGGGGGAGCTTTTGCTAACTTCTACTTGAAATGGATGAACACTCATAATGTGTCCTTTGATGCAGAACCCACCACAATGCATGGACCATCAAGTCAGGGTGAGAGACTAAGGGTTTTAAGAACATAGCTCAACCCTGGAGCCCACACGGCTGCCGCCAGCAAAAGCAAACTGTGTCCCTGGAGCTGAGTGGCCAGGAGGCCCACCTGCACCAGCTGAGCACATCACTGCCGCCCCACAGGAGCTGGGTGCTGACCTGCCACGTGTGACCCGAGAGCTGCTGTCAGTCCCAGGTCCGGAGCCCGGAGCGCCTTGTAAGGACATGTGGGTTCTGACAGCATCTGCATTCTTCGGAACTAAATGCGAGTTTAACATTTAACATCACCGTTGACGCAGAGGCTTGTAAACGTTTATTACTTTCCAATCCAATACCATGCCAAAGGAGTCACTATTGTCTATAATTGTTATGAGGTCAGAACACTAAGATCACATTGTCCCGACGACTGTCTAGAAGGGAAAAGGCCACTCCCGGGAAAGAGTTTAATCTCACATACCTTTTTTATTGCTGACTTTTTTAATCTGCTCATCTAAGTACTCTCGTCGTTTGATGAGTGCGTCAGACCACCTCTCTCTCACACAGTTTAAGTCTTCTTCCTGACGTTGGGGAGGGAAAACATTTTCCTGTAGAATACACAGACGACTCTTTTTTTTTTTTTTTAAGCAAAGATGTTTACATGGATCAGGAAAGTTTTCATTCGGAAAGGCCATTGAACACTGCTGTATGATTAATATGCCAGAAAGCAAAGAGGCCTCAGAAACATAGCATGCTGATCAAGGAACCCATTACTCAGAAATCAGAGCCCCTGGATTGCCAAAAGGATAATTATACTTAAAAGCAAGAGAAGCTCAAACTACACCAGCTGTGGGGATGATTCTTACGTGTGTGTGTGTGTGTGTGTGTTTGTGTGTTTAAATCAGAGCTATTCATTTGAAGGATGCATGATTCCAAGCAGAAGGACACCATGAACACAGCCCAAATCATGGAACAGCGAATGGAATGGAAAAAGAGAAAACAGGCATTTTCATAGTTCATCATTCAATGGCCTCGAAACATGTATTTTCTGAAATGCAAAGAACAGATCAGCAGAGAACCTTTCAAACTTGCTGCCAAGATTTTACCTCCGACCACTACCGTAAGGCTCACCAAAAATCTCCCATGCAAACAGCCCACATGCAGCCAGCCATGCTTTAAGAACTCCCAGAAGCAGCCGCTGGGACGTGGCCGTGAACAACGTGGCCGGAAGCGCACGGACAGAAGTAGGACGTTAGTTAATGGCATTGCTGAGATCCAAGGGGAGACTGGGATTTCACCCCTGAAGTTGGTTTTCGTTTGCTTGTTTTCTTTTAGTAAAGTTATGAGGGAAATAAACCCATCAATTCTACTCAAAATGCTCTCTGACTTGCCTCATTCCAGTCTAACCCTTAAGACGTGGCATTAAGAGCGGGTGGCAGGGGACTTCTGAGGCTCTATCTACAACGTACCCACAGTTCACATACCGGAAGGCACCCCGGGAAAACTGTGGAGAATGAGTACAAAGACTGGGAACCAAACCCGGAAAACTTCACTTTGATTTGCTGCCTTGCCTGTTCCTATCGTCCCACATTCCATGACAGGAGGCTGGCCAGCACTGACTAGGGACGAGTTCACGGGTGGCTTTTTTTTTTTTTTCTAAATTTCCAAAAAGAAAAAGCTGAGATTTAAATTCTCCAAGTTATGGATAATTAAGCTGGGTCCTAATGACAGAAAGAAGCTGGCTAACCCAAACTAAACTATGTGCATGAAATGTTTTCAATTTCCTATCCAGCAAGAGACTTTTAAACTAAAACTGCATATTAGAACAGTCCTACTCTCTTGGACGTGAGGCACGAAGTGCAGTTTTGCATAGAAAACACAAGGTTCAACTGAAAGATTATGGATGGATGATTCCACGGTTTTAAAAATCATTAACTTAATACAGTGATAATGGTCTTGCTTCGAAAGTCTTTACAAGCTAATTCAAGACAGCAGAGCAGCAATGCAGTATCCGGTCATACGTTTTGAACGGACAGAGAAATCTATAGCAACAGTACTGTATCCCTGATTATGTTTAAAGCAAATCCAAAGCGAGTGAGAGTCTGCGTGTTCTTGCTCGATGGTCCTCCTTCCTCCTCCCTGCCCTCTGCTTTGCGGATGCTAGCCGTTAGCAGCAGCCGTGCCCCATGCCACAGAACGACAGCAACAGCGATACCTGATAACTATCCATATCATCACCATCCTCATCATCTCTCTGGGAGGAAAAAAATAAACACAAAGGACATGCATTTTTGTTTCTCAAACAGCACACAGGTAATTCTTCAAGCGTAACACACACATTACAATGGACAGCACACGGAACACCCAGCATAATAAAACATTTAAATGATTTGCAAGAAAGGTTTAGTGGATTTAATTCACTCGCCTCTAAGAATTCGAGTTTTGTTTTGTTATGTTTTTAATAAAGAAAGCAACCATTTAAAAAAAAAAAAAAAGAACTCTCTTCGATGGGACTAGGAATCAACGTCACTGGGCCAGGCTTTACCCTGTCATCATGCGAATGGCGCATACGCATTTCTGGGTGGGCTATCTGAGATTTGGGGCGGACTCAGAAGGACAAAATGGTAGAACTAGACTACCTCTCAATCTCTTAGTTTAGCCGTGAGGCAGACGGGGCCCCGAAGGATGAAATGTTTTAACCCAAGGATCACCCAAGTGGTGGCAGAGTCAGGACTGGGTGCCAGGCTGCTAGTTACCCCACTCAGTGTCCTTTCCCCCTGCACCACACCACATGCACTGAGGAAATCCTCACAGGCGAAAGCCCACCGGGAGCCTCAGGCTTCCTCAGCGTACAACAGTCTCAAGAGCACAGCCTGCCATGCTGAATATTGGATCTGCTGTCGCCCATTACTGGTTATGTTAGCATCATACCAATCAGTTGGGTAATACAGTTTACAATAGTTTATAATAATTGTATAAAGCAATGATTTTGGCAAAAACATCTGGCAAAACAAAACCACCATGTTGAAAATAAAAGGATTTAGTTGAGACAGGTTTCCTTAGACAGAAGAGTAAGGAAACTCCCATTTGTAGGGAATAACCATCTACCCGGAGGCAGGTTCTACTCAAAATGAACCCTGGCCCCTGTAATAATCGTCTTTGTTTTTTTCCTACTATTGGAGGGTTAATATTCAAACAGGCAGTGAAGTGGTCTAGTCATAAAAAGACAAACCTTTTTTTTTAAGTGCTTTAAAATATAATTACATTACTCTCATATATAAGTATACTTCAATATATACTGCTTTTTAAAAGTGCTTTAAAAATACAGTTAAACATTCTCTGCATAGATTTCAAAATCCACTTTTTTTTTTAAGTTTGGAACCCATCATTTGAGTAACTAACTTATTAAATGTATGCCTAATACTGAAGTAATTTTTCTTTTTTCTTCAAGATTTTATTTTTTAAGTAATATCTATATCCAACGTGGGGCTCAAACTCACAACCCCGAGGTCAAGGGTCCCATGCTCTACTGACTGAGCCAGCCAGAGACCCCCTGAAGTAATTTTTGACTTAATTCCCCACATTATTGAATAAAGTACAGTAGCTTGAATTTATCATTACTATTTTTTAGACTAAGAAGATCCTTCTATTAACTGAGAACTAGCCTCAGCTTTCATGATGTATAACTTGTGAAATCAGCATATTCTGGACTGGCTTGAGCTACCGCATCAGAATATTTCTAAAGTACTACGTCAACAAAATAAGTTCTGGATGTGACTTTGAGCATGGCTGCAAAGAAAAATAAAAGCTTTAAAACAGTCACAGTTTAGAGGCACCTAGGTGGCTCAGTCAGTTAAGCATCTGACTCTTAATTTCAGCTCAGGTCATGATCTCAGGGTCGTGGGATTGAGCCCCACATCGGGCTCTGTGCTCAGCAGGGAGTCTACTTCTCTTTTTCTCCCTCTCCCTCTGTCCTCTCTCTCCAAAATAAATAAAATTTTAAAAATCTTTATAAAAAAATTAGCCACAGTTTATTGATTGATTGATTTTTTAAGCAGGCTCCATGCCCAGTGTGAAGCCCAACATGGGGGTTGAACTCACAACCCTGAGATCGAGACCTGAGCTGAGATGAAGAGTTGGCCGCTCAATGATTGAGCCACCCAGGCGTCCTGAAATAGTCACCACTTAAATCTGCATGACTGGCGCTATGTTCTTTAAAGAGCATTTAGCACTGGGGAAAGCTCGAATTTTGACAAAAATGAGTTTTAACTCAGAAGGTAGAGCAGTTTTAAAAGTGCAAATAATCAATCTTTATAAGGTTCCTCAAATGGGAACATGTAGTCAGTTGGTGATCCCGGTTGTATAGGTCATGATTTAGGATGTAAATTCAAAGTTTTATCTAAGGTGAGAAATTTACTAAGCCACAAAATTTTAGTATAGACTGGGATCTCAGGGAATTATTAAGTCTCCTTCATCATTCTGGAGAAGAGAGAAGGGGAACTCGAGGTTTGCATTATCCCAACAAGGTAACCAGGAAGGCCGTGCTAGACTGAAGAATCCAGGTCCCCCCGGTTCCAGGCCAGCGACCTTTCTACCAGGCCCTGCAGCCACCCCCAAGGTTGATGGCTGAGTGAGGGACTGAGCTGGGATGAGAATCCACACAACCCAGTCTTCTACTCCACATATGAGGAAAAGTCTGGGGGAGGCTTCTCCCCCAGAACAGCAGACTGTCCTCAGGCCTTCCTTCATACTCTCTCTGGCTCTGAGAACCAGGGGCAATTTTGGCCTGGGACAGGGAAGGCGGCGTTTGACAAAACTATGCCTTCCTAAGGCCTCGTAGGCCAAGCCACTGTTCCTTCTAGCTTTCAGAAAGTCTTTGCCTGAATGCCAGGGAGTGCAAGGAAACTGAGACTGAAGATGAATCATTTTCAAGACGGGCTGGGCCTCCACCCAGGCGCCACAGAGAAACATCACAACAGGCAGTGCTCCCTCTCTCGTGTGGTAGTGAAGCAGCCAGAGTTCAATGGGCTGATTCCTCCCCTAATTCATACCTGACAGTAAACTGGGGACTGAGCGAAAGCACATGCCTTCTTTCAGGCCACTTCAGGCAAGTTCCTAATCTCAAAGTTCATCCTCACAGAGTGATGAAGAGCTGGGGTTGGTAACATGAAGATTAATTCTTTGATGTTTTCACCTTTCACTTTTTACAAATATTTACTTATTTATTTAAAAAATAATGTCTGCACCCAATATGGGACTCAAGACCCCAAGATCAAGATTCACATGTTCTTCCAGCTGAGCCATCCAGGTGCCCCCCAATCTTTTAATTTTAAAATGAGAACAGAAGATTTAGTAAAGGAGGATTTAATGGACAAAAATGATCATGAGGACAACTTTTAATTGGAAAAAAAAAAGAAAGCTTTCAAAGAACTGTTAAATTATGCCAGTGTAGGGTGCCTGGGTGGCTCAGTCATTAAGCGGTTGTCTTCAGCTCAGGTCATGATCCCAGGGTCCTGGGATCGAGCCCCGCATTGGGCTCCCTACTCAGCGGGAAGCCTGCTTCTACCTCTCTCCCTCTCTCCCTGCTTGTGTTCCCTCTCTCGCTTTGTCTCTGTCAAATAAATAAATAAAATCTTTTAAAAAAAAAATGATGCCAGTGTATGGGGGCAATTTTATATTAATAAAAGTGGACTGGGCCAGGCAACCATGCCAAATATCCAACATAACCTAACTGGAGCCAGACAGAAAATGAAATCTGACTGAAGTAAATGAGTAACATACCATTCATATGTGTGTTTACAAATAAAATTATTATTAATCAACACTAAGCTGGTACAGTATTTCAAACCTCATAAGAAAGGCAATGGATGGAAATGTGAAGGGAGGGGTATAGATAATAAGGTCAGGACAAGGAGTTTGGTCATATTCCCCAAAGGTCTCCATCCCAGATCACTGACTGCCTTTCTCTGCATTAGCTGGTCCTCGCTGCAGACTACTTCCAATGTGCTGGTCTTACCTGGTAACTGTCCAGCCCTCTCTGCAGCTTGGTGGACCTGGCAGTGACGCACCCAATGGAGACAGACAGGACGGCTTCGACCATGAGTGGTAGTGTCCCAGAATGCTGCACGGGTTTCACTGTGACTTGCACCCTCCGGGAATGACCCTGCAGAGGGCGGCGGGTGGGGGACAATGGGTGCCAGGAATGGGAAGGGCAAGGAATGGGGGAAGAGGATAAAGGAAGAGAAGAGAATCAGGGAATACAGAAGCCCATAACTAGAAAATTCCCAGAAACGGTGTGTAAGAGTGGGACAAAGAGAAAACAAAAACAAAGAAAACCAAGCCTAGTACCTGTCTGAGTTGGAAGATGCCTCCCGTGTTGACATCTTTTGCCTGGTGAAGCTCCACTGCTGTGTATTCTCCTAGCTCGTTCAATTCCAGTATGGAGAGCCACATCTCTATTCTCCGTGTTACCTCATTCCACCTGCAGAAACACGTTCCCATGGACAACAACGTCAATGCCCAGGGACATCATGAGCAATAGGAATGAGCCACCACCCCCTGAGCCCTTACTATGGGCTGGACATCGCGCTGTCATGTAGGTTTTCTTATTTAACTCTCAAAACAACCCTATGGTTTGGCTTTTCTCTTTATTTTATTGAGGTATAATGTATATTCAGTGAAATGTCCAGTTTTCAAGTAGAGTTTGATGAATTGTGAAAATGCACATACCTCTGTCACTACCCCATCATTTGCCTCTGCAAGTTTGCTCACGCCCCTTCCCGTTCAATACCCACAGCATCCCACAGCGGCCACGTAACTATAAATTATTTCTGCTTGGGCGCCTGGGTGGCTCAGTCGGTTAAGCGACGGCCTTTGGCTCAGGTCATGATCCTGGAGTCCCTGGATCGAGTCCCGCATCGTGCTCCCTGCTCGGCGGGGAGCCTGCTTCTCCCTCTGCCCCTCACCCCTCTCATGTGCTCTCTCTCTCTCATTCTCTGTCAAATAATAAATAAAATCTTTATAAAAATAAATAAATAAAGTTTCATTGGGCGCCTGGGTGGCTCAGTTGGTTAAGCAGCTGCCTTCGGCTCAGGTCATGATCCTGGAGTCCCGGGATCGAGTCCCGCATCGGGCTCCCTGCTCGGCGGGGAGTCTGCTTCTCCCTCTGACCCTCCCCCCTCTCATGTGCTCTCTCTCTCAAATGAATAAATAAAATCTTTAAAAAAAAATTAAAAAAAAAATAAATTAGTTCTGCTTGTTCTAGAAATTCATAAGAAGGGAATCATTAGTGCATACTCTTTTAGGTCTGGCCTTTTTGGTTCAGTGTAATGTTTCTGCGATTCATTCAAATGGGTATCTGTTGTCCTTTTCTTTGTTAACAGAGCTGAGTAATATTTGTTACATGACTAGTAGTATAATTTGTTTATCAAACATTCTCACACATTTGGGTTGTTGGCAGTTTGGGGGATATTATAAGAAGAACAGCCATGAACATTTGTGAACAAGTCTGTTTACAGACTTACATTTTCATTTTTCTTGGGGAAATACCCAGGAGTAGATTGCTAGGTCACAGAAAAGGCAAAGGATCAAATTTCCAAGAAGATATCCTCCTGCGCAAGATGACGGGGCAAATTTCCAAGAAGAGGAAGCTTGTGGCCGATGGCATCTTCAAAGCTCAAGTGAATGAGTTTCTCACTGAGGAGCTGGCTGAGGATGGCTACTCTGGAGCTGAGGTACGAGTTATAGGAACCGGGACAGAAATCATGATCTCGGCTACCAGGATGCGCAAAGTTTTTGGGGAAAAGGGCTGGTGGACCTGAGAACTGACTGCAGTGGTTCAGCAGAGGTTTGGCTTCCCTGAGGGCAGTGGAGAGCTTTATGCTAAAAAGGTGGCCATGGGAGGTCCGTGTGCTATCACCCAGGCCAAGTCTCTGCGTGACCAGCTCCTAGGATTCCTTGCTGTGTGGCGGATCTGCCATGGCGTGCAGTGGTTCATCATGGAGAGTGGGGCCAAAGAACCGTGAGGTCCTGGTGTCCGGGAAACTCTGAGGACAGAGGGCCAAATCCAGCAAGTTTGTGGCTGGCGTGATGATTACCAGCGGGGACCCTGTTAACTGCTGCTCAGACAGGATGTGCTGGGCATCAGAGTGAAGACTGTGCTTCCCTGGGACCCACGTGATGAGACAGGCCCTAAGAGGTCTGTGCCTCACCATGTGAGCACTGGGGACCCCGAAGGTGAGATACTGCCCAGCACCTCCACTGTGGAACAGCCTGCCATGCCCTGGCCAGTTCCCACAGCACAACAGGGGCTCCTTGGCAGCCGAATCCAGAGTCTAAATATTGCTCTATACAGACTTTTATAAAAGCTTCCAAAAAGGAAAAAAAAAAAAGGAAAATATCCTGGTTTTTTTTTTTTTTTAATAAGCTTTACAGTTTTATCTTTCCCATGAAAGGTTCCGATCCATCCCAAAATAAATTTTGTGTATCGTGTGAAGCCAAGATCCAGGTTGGTTTTGACCCAGCAGATACGTGGTTGTTTCCGTACTGTTTGTTGAAAAGGCTTTCCTTCCCCCATCCAACGTCCTCGATGCCTGCTAGTTCCTTTTATTGTTCCCATTTCACCAAGGAGGAGGCAGGCCCGGGGACCCCTACTCTTACCCTCTGGCCTGGTGCCAGTCTTGAGCCTGCATCAGCTCAGCCAAGTACACACCTGTCATGCAATGTTCTCGTCTTCGCATGAAGGGAGTCGACTTCCCAGACAGAGCTGCCGTTCCCAGCACAGCGGTGGCCCCACACCTCAATGGCCAGGGCTCCGTCAGACAGGAACTCCAGGAGCTCCTCTGTCACCGTCACCACGTAGTCCTGGGGCAAGTGGGAGCAAGGGAAGAGCAACGAGAATCACGCACCGAGCAATCTGTGCAATTTCCGTTTTTACCCTTCCATTGTGTAGAGATCCACTTTGGAGGTGGTTTAGTCTGATCCCAACCTGAAAACCACCTGTGCTGTTTTAAAGACCCGGAATACTAGCTCTTATACTAGCAAGGAAGGAGGGACTGAGTGCAACTCCCTTCTTTAATCAGGGCGGACACTGAAAGAAGCATCCTGTCCGGCATCACGGTGCTTGGGAGTGAATCCGCACCTAGCACCTGCTTCCTTCGTGGTTCTGGAGGACCACTCAGAACTCCCGCCGTAGGCTAATCAGCACATCACAAAAAAAGAACGTCTGATTGCTCCTTGCTATGGCTTGGGAGACTGTGAACAGAATTAAATTTCCTATGATTATCTTCATGATTCTGTGTTCTTGCTCTGAAACTCCCCCACTCCAGCTCCTCATCATGAAACGCAGACAGAGGAGTGTGAGGAAATGAACACTGAGTGGACTGGAGTATGGAAATCACCCTGAACAAAGCGGCAGGCAAGGGGCCAAGCCGAGCATCTTTCCAGCAGCATCTTAGTGAAGTCTCTGGTGAAGACAACTCTGCAGCTCTCAATTCTGGAAAGCTCAGCCAAGTACACATCTGTCATGCAACATTCTCGTCTTCGCATGAAGGGAGTCGACTTCCCAGACTATGTTGATTTAACATTCTACTACTTACCTTCTTACTTATTGTATTTGGAGATAGAGCCAGAATTTTAGAAGGAAAACAAACCAATGATCAATTAGTACAAGCTACACATCTTATTGATGAAAAAAACCCCAAGGTCACACAGTGAATCCAAGGTCACACAGTGAATCCGAGGTCTCTGCGACTAGCGTTCATCAAAATAGTTGCTAACCAGAATGTACTTAAAATTCAGGCTTCATTCTTCTACAGGAACAGCTTTGTGGATCCAAAGAAAGATGGGGACTATTTAAGAGAGTATACAGACAACAATAACCAAAAAATAACTCATAAGGATTCTGAGAAACAGACTTGGTGAATATGGGTGAAAGAAAAAAAAGAGTGGACTATTTGTTTTCAGAAAAAGAAAGACTTAACAGTCTTTTACCTATGTGAAATTTGATAGGTGTAGAGCCAGAAAGAAAAAGCACAATTTCCAAAGGAAAGGGTTTGGAGTATCTGTTAAGGATTGTGCAAGGAAAAACAAAATTACAACAGAATGTAGTGTCTGTCTGTCAGTCAGAAACAACCTGTGGGCAGTCTGACGTGAAAACCAGGAAGGGTGGCTGATGGTCACACGACAGGGCCAACGAACAGTCACCGAAAATTCACCTTGTCCACTGACCTTTTCTTTAAAAACTCATTTGGCACATTAGAATATGATGCTTGGAGTGTTACACCGTATTCCAACGACTGGAAAGAGGTTCACCTATATTAAAGGGTATAATTCTACAATATACATAACATGACCACATTTTTGTAAAAAAAAAAAAACAAAAAACTTTCTAAAGACATTATGCATGCATGATGGTAAGAGACGGTATCTATGCCCATTGCTGTGTGAACATGTATTGACCACACACAGATAAAAGTTGGAGGGCACAAAAAATAGTTTATCTAAATGTGTACAAATGTTACTAGCCATTACACCTCTAGGACCTAAGACTTCAGGGAGAGGCCTTTCAGATTTTATTTTATTTATTTATTTGTTTATTTATTTATTTATTTTAAGATTTTATTTATTTATTTGACAGAGAGAGACATAGTGAGAGCAGGGACACAAGCAGGGGGAGTGGGAGAGGGAGAAGCAGGCTTCCCGCCGAGCAGGGAGCCCGATGTGGGACTCGATCCCAGGACCCTGGGATCATGACCTGAGCTGAAGGCAGACGCTTAACAACTGAGCCATACAGGCACCCTCAGATTTTATTTTAAAAACTTCCCATCAGGGGCGCCTGGGTAGCTCAGCCGTTTAGCGTCTGCCTTCGGCTCAGGTCATGATCCCGGGGTCCTGGGATCGAGCCCTGCTTGTGTTCCCTCTCTCCCTGTTTCTCTCTGTCAAATAAATAAATAAAATCTTTAAAAAAAAAACACAAAAAAAAACTTCCCATCTGAATTTGTACTGAAGTACATTTTGAGGTTAAAAAGTGCAACACACATATTACCTTTATTAAACATTCTTATAGGGGGAACCTGTAAGTTATAAGAAGAGTTTTGAATGGCACCCAGGTCCATTGCCTCCCGTGTAGCTCGTCTTGTAATGGCGCCCATACCTTACAATGAGAGAAAGTGACGGTGTACTGGGCGTCCCTGGACTGAGGGGAAGGCACCTCGGGGTCCACCACTGGGGCTGCCACCGTAGATTCACACTGGTCCCAGAATGTGTATTGACAGAAGACAAAATTTGAGAGGTTTAAGGGCAGCCCAGTTGCCTCTTTAATTTTTACCTAAAGAGATTAAAAAAAAAAAGCAATGAAATTCTGATCAAGAAAACATTAACCTATGCACGCTTACTTCCAATACTTCTATTTTAAGTAAATCGGTTATCCGTTGGATACCTGAAAACGTCTGGCATATGAGGGGTTCCACTTATAATCAGTCTGTACCACGACCACCGCTGTAGCATGTGGGCCCGGCAACAAACGCACTCATCCTCTCAAATTTTCCTACTGGCTGAGCTTCTGACGCAGAAGCAACCTTTACTGGAAAAGCACGATTCCCTGAACAATGTACACTTCCTGCAGCCAAAAGCCCGGGGGCTTCTTAAAATTTCATCAACTGGCATCAGAAAGTGCGCTCTACTTCTGGAAAAAGTACTGCCCGCCGTGGAAGTTGTGCTCAGAAAGCTTAACGTTTACTACGCTCTACGAAAAACTCCCAAGATCTTCTGTTGAGCTGCCTTGCCTGAACACGGTGGCTTATCGTGCCCGCCCATCCTGTCCTCTCACCCGGCATGTCAGTTTCCTGACCCGGTGAACGACCTCCCCACTGTTGTCCACGACTTCAAGGCTCCCGCCTTCGCTGGAGTTCTCCGAGGAGTCATCCTCCGCCACGCGCTCCGGGACGGCCCCTGTCACTCGCATCACTTCTACGTGGAGACGCCCGGCAACCTGCAGCAGGGACCAGAGTGCCTGTGGGTTACAGGCATCGTGTGCAGAAGCCTGACCTGAGACGGAGAGCACGCCGCCAGACCCCCGGGCTGCTGCTGGGCCTGCTCCAGCGGTGGGAACCTCACGCCTTCCACAGCCGGTCCTTCCATCGCCTCCCCTGCAATCACCCTGCCTGACTTGGAGCCAAACCTGCCTCTCTGCCACTTGCCTTTTGGAGTCATCTTCCTTCTCATCCTTCTTTACAGGCAGCCCACGAACAGAGTAAAGGCTGCTCTCGTATTCTACCCGGAGTGGTTTATTTTCCACTTCATATGTATTCATTCATTTAGTCTGCTGACCAAACACCTGCCTCACGGGACTACCGAGACAAATAGTAGAGATACGTGCAGGTTGTGATGGGTTAAACTGATCCAGGAATCAGTCGTAAGCCAGGAACTGCACGAAACACTGCTTTTACAACAGTAAACCCAAAGACACGGTCACCAGGCTCCTGGAGAGTCTACTCTCTTGGGAGTAGAGAATAGGTATGTGACTCACACTGGGGCTGGGAGCAGGGTGGAGGTGGGTCCATGGAGGAAGGAGACCCATCCCAGGAGGAGCAACAAACACAAGGACACAGTTATAAGGAAACGGTTCCTTTAAAACTGTTCCCCCCCCGCCAAAGGCTTAACATGTCCTCAACATCCTGGTGGTCCTCTGGGCAGGAGCTAGGTTGGCAGTGCCCCTCTTCCAGCTGGGTGCCCAGAACTGAACCGAAGGACAAGAATTATCCCGCACTTGGCACCCTCAGAGCGCTATAACTGGCCAAGTTATCTTTCGTAACACAGGTTAAGGTTGCAGCGGCTGGAGCTGTGAAGGTGACACGTCCCAGCCATGCTGCTGTTGTCTTAAATAGGAAGGCCCATTTTTAAAGGGAGTCAGACCCCCCACTGCCATTGGCAGCAGAGACTTGAGAAATTCGTCGATGGTCTTGGACGAGTGAGACCGATATGGAGGAATCAGAGGAGGGGGAATGGCAGAAATCAGTTTGAAGGCAATAGTTCTCAAGATTTTTTTCAATGGTCTTTGAGAATTAATACATTTTTAATATAACTTCAGAGGGATGAATGGAACACTCAAAGCCCAGCCCAGACCCCAGCTTAAGAACTGAGTCACTGGATTCCTTTGCCACAGGAACTTTTTCACATGGGAAAAAGCAATTCCAGCCCGCTGGTCTTCTAGAGCAGAATGTCCCCGGGGGGCTGCCACATGCAGAATGTGAGCTGTGCAGGTACACACCACAGCTGGGAACCTGGGCTCTGCTTCCCGGCTCACTCCGGGCAGAATGGCATCCTGCTCACAGCCTGCCCCAAGGATCACAAGGGATAACTAAGTATTTCAAGTCTGCATGTTATGGAAGGGCAAGCTACGGAATAACGATGTTACTAAATTTAAAATAAAAAGATCAGTTGATGAAATGGATAAAAATCAAACAGTTTGAACTTGAATATTTTCTAAAATGTCTTAGACCTACATAATAAGGTCAATACATGTAAGTAACTGAAATCTCAAGTATTTTGTTTTCTTTTGTTTTTTAAAAGGGGTTAAGCTTATTTTCCTTGAATACTTTAGATTTCAAAATAATGCTCCCAAGTTGTATCTTGTGAAGACCACATAGGGGCCGGGAAGGAATTTGAGTATATTACAAACATAAGAGATTAAAGGAAGATAAATAGGGGGATGGAGCTGAATCTGGTTTCCAAAAGATTTCTAATTTGATTAAAACAAAGAAAAAAACTCATGAACCATAAATAAACTTGTTGTAATAATCTTATATGGTTTTAATCTTATAATCTTAAAAAACCATGATTTAATTTTGATAGTTTCTATTGATAGGAGCAAAGAAAGAATGTGATCCTGACTATTCACCCTAGTTTCCTGATACACCTCAAGAGAATAACTTAAATTGGATTCACACAGACAGACACACACCCTTAAACTGTTTCCTCCAAGGATAGCTTGTCCTTACCTCCCCCTGCTGGCTGATGATAGGAACTGCATACTGAAGTTTCACATCATAGAAGAGACACTCCAAGAACACATTAGCGACGCCAATTAGGTTGTGATTCTCTTGGGCTTCATAGAAAGGGTCACCTCGTTTCCCATAGAGACGCTTTGCCTAATGGGGTAGGGGGGCATGGGGGAGGCGAGTAGGAAACAAAACACCAACTTGGATAATATTATTTAAAACTATGTTTTAAAAAAATGTTTCTTAAAAAAGAAAGCATTTATCCAAAGAAATTAAAAAAGTAATATTACAATCATGTTGCAAAAATAAAACAAAAGTAGCACATGGGAGGGGCTTGACAGCTGGGGGGCTACATGATGTCTGCGGGGAGAGTTCTTCCTTAGTCACTGACTCTCTTCCCTATCACACCCCACGTGCAGCCTTTTTCACTCCATTCCCTGTGCTTTGCCCCATTTCCTTCACCGAGGCTTCTTTTCCATTACTAGTATCCAAAAAGATGGATTGTGCTTTCTAAAATTATTCTTTGTAACCTCCCCAGCCACGATCACAGCTGGGGGAGCATGAACACATGCTAATGAATACTAAATCCAAGCTGGCTCCATCCATGTGGATTTGTCACAACACTGACCAAACAGCACAGATTTGCTTTGTTCTATTTCACTTCACTTGAAATGTAACAAAAACTCTGCCAACGAAGAATATGTCACGTGTTCTCTTCATTTAGTTCCTGTCCATGTGGGGATCGCATGTTCTATGACTGATTCAACTTAGGACCCCTTTCAAGGTCACTTCTACGTTAGTTTTCTAATATCAATGTCCCAAGTACGACCGCAGATAGTCACCGCCGCGCATGTGTGTGTTCTGACGGTGATTATCACTTACATTCTGCGCTTTCGACATGGTCAAATCTCCTTGACATTTATCTCTTTTACCTCAGGAATTTTTTCCTTCCATTCTTGATAAAGGTCTCTCATATCAATTAATTTATTCTCCAGCTTCTCAATGGTCCAAACTTGGGTGCCCTTTCCTTTCCTCCTCACTTGAATAGCTGGCTCACTCACGATGGCTCCTCTCTGCAGAGTGAAGGAAAACAAAAACACACAACAAGCGAAATGAGCCTTGTTACGGCTTTTTGGATTGTTAAATATGTAACTATCAAGTAGCAAGTTTGAAAAAGACACATAATGTATACAGAAAGAATATGAAATTCTACCACCTAGGGAACATTCTGGCTTATTTTCAACTAAGATGCAAAAAGATTAATGAAATCTTCTGTGTATACCCATGCATATGCTTTTTACTTTTATCATAAGCAGAACCAAACAAAACTGTAAATCTCCTATCCTGATCCTCTCTCCACAGTTTTTATATTATGATCATCTCCTTGTGTTGTTAAATATTCCTCACAGACATGATTTTTTTTCTTTTAAAAAAAGATTTTATTTATTTATTTGAGAAAGAGAGAGAAAGAGAGAGAGCATGAGCAGGGGGCAGAGGGAGAAGCAGACTCCCTGCTGAGCAGGGAGCCGGATGCAGAGGCTTGATCCCAGGACTCTGGGATCATGACCTGAGCCAAAGGCAGATGCTTAACCAGCTGAGCCACATAGGTGCCCCTCATAGACATGATTTTTTAATGGCAACATAGAAATCTGTTATTTGGATAGACCACTCACCTGACAAGTTATTATATTGTTCAACATCACGGCTATTTCAAATTTTTGCTACTATAAAGGCCATTATGATAAGCATCCTTCTACAAAAAGCACATGGACTTTATGAACACTTCTATGACCGTGGACTTAAGATAAATTTTTCAAAGAACTGCTTGGTCAAAGAACTAAAATAGAGAAAGATTAATGAAATACTCCCTGACTCATTTCTAGTTTGCTTGCTGGAGGCAAACACAAATGGATGAAAAATTATTTTCTTTTGAAGTTTCTTCTTAAAGGAAAAAAAAATCCTTGAAGTTGAAATGATGGTAAACTTCCCAATGACTGCAAAAAGTTGTTCTGTGTACAAAAAAAAGGTATTATACAAGTCTTCCTTTCTTGTAGAATCCACTCTTAAAAATGGTACCATAACAAAACATATACCTATCTCTCATTCCAGAAAGGACCAGTCATAGGAAAGAGAAAAGCAAGAGGAATTACTTATATATATTTCTAATTTTAACATATCTGAGGGCACATAAACTCCGGGGGGGGGGGGGGAGGATCTATAGAGGAAATCTTTTTTTTTTTTTTTTAATTTTTACTGTTGAAGCCTAGTTGGCAAACAATGTTATATTAATATAGCGGAAGTCTGTTTTTCTTTTTTTTTAGATTTTATTTATTTATTTGACAGAAAGAGAGCACAAGCAGGGGGAGCAGGAGAGGGAGAGGGAGAAGCAGACTCCCCCCTGAGCAGGGAGCCCAATGTGGGGCTCGATCCCAGGACCCCAGGATCATGACCTGAGCCGAAGGCAGCCGCTTAACTGACTGAGCCGCCCAGGTGCCCGAATATAGAGGAAGTCTTAAAAAGAATAAATACTCTGACTCACATCAAGATCTCCTCATGGATGTTCTTTTGGATGTCAGGTGTGTATTCTATCTTACAGTACATAAGTTGTGCATTTTGCTCTCATTTTCTTTAAAAACACTCTTACCTTCCTATTGGCGCTGAGGTTTGCGGCAGGGATCTGCAGAGTCACTTGGTAGTCAGTGAGCTTGCTCATTTCCTCAGCTAAGAAGTTTGCCTCCCTTACCAAGGTATTAGCTTTCACGAGCTGCTCGCGCAGCTTTGCCAGGCTTTGACGGAAGAGCTCATCCCTGCGGGGTAGCGAAAAAGGAAATGAGAACATCTGAAAGAAAAGGAAACTGTAATCCTGGTTCTAAGTGAGTCATGGTATTAGAAAGTGGTAGAAAACTCCTTTCAGGAGATACTTTTCAACTGTTTTTTTGTCCAAAAAAAAAAAGGTTTTTTTGTTTTGTTTTGTTTTTAATGTTTCCTTCCTCCCACAAGGGTACTGTGGGCTCCCTATTGGTCACCACTGATGAGGAGCAAAATAGGTGAAGAGAGGGGCACCTGGGTGGCTCAGATGGTTAAGCATCTGCCTTCAGCTCAGGTCATGATCCCGGGGTCCTGGGATCGAGCCCCGCATCGGGCTCCCTGCTCAGCGGGGAGTCTGCTTCTCCTTCTCCCTCTGCCTCTCTCCCTGCTCATGCTCTCTCTCTCTCTGTATCTCTGTGTCTCAGATGAATAAATAAAATCTTAAAAAAAAAAAATAGGTGAAGAGACTTAACTAAAAACCATATTTTAAATCCTCTACCATTTGAAAACTGCTAGATTTTGATATGTTGCTGCCAAAAAACCAATCAAGGGATTCTGGCGGGAAAATAACTGATTATGACTTATGTGCTTCTGGGGCTGAGGGGAAGGGGAGAGGAATATGGGGCCATAAGGAGAAAGCATTTCACACGATTTCTTCAGCTGGTAAAAGGCGAGAAGCAGGGGTTTTCTGTGGCAGCAGGAATTCAACTTTTCAACTCCACACAATAGCGTTTCATGGTGAGACCTTCCCTAATGTTCTGATGCTGAATATAGGTCAAAACCCTAGTACCTGCTCTCCCAGCCCCACGTGCTCTGTCTCAGTAGCATTTGTCCTAGTTAGACTCTCATTTATTTGTATAATTACCTGAGCTTCAGGCACACTGGGGCGAGAACCAAGTTATTTTTTGGTCTGTCATTACAGCTAATTCCTGGACAAGTGCGTGGCCTACCATGGGATACCCCCAAACTACCCAGTGAGTGAAAGGAACAGTACTTCTGGGTTCCACCTGTGAGTCTGGACTCAGAGGTAATCCAGGCTAACAGACTGCTTATCTAGCCTCATCTAGCTTCTCTCTTCTACCATTTACACACCTGCCCTTACTTCGTGGGACAATGAGGAGCTTGGAACACCCAATCTCTACTCCTTTCTTATCACCTTAGAAGTGATACAGGAGGCCGACTGCAAGATGTTAATATAAAGTTAACCTAAACCATATGACACATGCATCCCATCTGCCTGCGTTTTCTAAGTGATATTACCATTTTTTTTTCAGTTACCCGAACTTGACTTCTTCCAGCCAGCTCCGTCTTTTCTCTTTTCCACAACATCCAGAAAAAAAGCCTTGTTGATTCTCTCTTTGAAATATCTCCTAACTCTCTATTGTTTTCGTAGCCCCTGGTTCTTGGCTCCCATCCCTGCCCCCATAACCTCACAGCCCCCCCCACTCTTCCTCTTCCCTCCCAGACAGTCACATAAATCCCTGCCTGTCTCAGGTCAGTCCTCAGTTGAAAACCTCCTCTGCGCCCTACAGAATAGCTTTGGACTTAGCTTTCCATCCTCCTCTGTAAGTCACCTTTTAGACCAAACAAAACAGCTCTCATGTAATCCCCTAAACACACCTTCCTCTTCTCCATGGCATCCCATTTGTTTGTACCAACCTGCCCGTTCAAAATGCCTCCCACCTCCTGTCCGCCCGTCCAGTCGCCACCCTTCAAACTCGCTTGAAATCCTTCCTTCTCCATGATCTTGCTACAGAAGGCTCCACGGAATGGGGTCCCACCCTGCACTAACCACCACAGCTCCTCCTGCATTCCCTGCCCAGGCACCCACCTGTTTATCACAGATCCCCTGCCCTGGGAAGTTATTCTTCAGCTCAGGGATCAATGACAAAGGGACAATTATGCAACTGCAACACTTCCTATTGTTGGATGAAACTGTCTTTTAATTTACTATTACGATGCACTTTTCACGTATTTGTATCTTGCTCTACACTCCATTGTAAGTGTCCAGAAAGAAGAATCGGCATCTCTGATTTTCTTTGTAATTCTCACTAGCTCTTAAATATAGTTGATTTTCAGCCCTTCAACATTTACTTAGGTATGAGTCCCTCAGTATTTCACAAGCCATCCACATTTATTTAGGTAAGAGTCCCAGCTTCTAATATAACAGTCCATCATTAATGACATCTTAATTTTATCCAGTGACTCTGGTGAAATAAATATTGTAACCATTCTCCTCTCCTTGGATGACATCCCCAAAATATCATCCTTGCTACTCTCCTTATGTTTAAGAACTTGAGCCTCAAAGAAAATCAATTTGGACTTAAGCTAAGTGGGAAAAAAAATTTTAACACTTGACTGAAAAATACTATCATTCAAAACAATCCACTTTTTCTGTTGCATCTTTTTTTGTCTTTTACCATCTTCAGGACATAGAGAAGTAATTAGGGAGACTGAACAGAAAGGTATCAGTGGGTCCAATCACAATTACTTTCAAGCCCACTGTTGCTTAGAAGAAAGCCACCAGCTCGCAGTACAGGCAGAGAAGGCAGCTCTTCAGAAAAAGCACCATCTGATAACCTTTGCCTCTTTTATCCAGGCACAGAAAAAGAGAGTAATGTGTTACAAGTAGGATAAATCTTCATACTGCAGTATCCAGACAGATGAGCGGGCAGCTCCTGGGGAAAATGCCACTGACTCTTTTCTCTTAATTTAGAACAATCAAGTGCATTATTATGGCGAGCAGGGTTGGGCTCCTCTTCTCCCTCTTCCGCTCTTAGGGGTCATCTTCCCTGGATGTGGCTCCGGTTTAAGAGTCTCACTGCTCATGAGAGCTCATGGCGTCAGACGGCCATGGCTCTGATCTCACTGCCCCGACTTGCCAGCTAAGGGACTCTGGGAGGTAGCTTGTCAGTTTGCATCAAGTCTTAATATTTCCCCTACACTTTGGCCTGGCAATTCTACTTCTAGGACTCTGTAATAAGAAGCTAAATAATGGGGCGCCTGGGTGCCTCAGTCATTGAGCGTCTGCCTTGCGCTCAGGTCATGGTCCTGGGGTCCATGCTCCTTGCTCAGTGGGTAGCCTGCTTCTCCCTCTCCTTCCTGCCCATGATCTCTCTTGCTATCTCTGTCTCTCTCAAATATATAAATAAAATCTTTTTTTAAAAAAAAGATAATGATGTTCACAGTAATTTGTGCACATGGTTGTTCTTTGCAGCATTATTTATGAAAGCAAAAATTTTAGTAAGAACTAAATATCCAACAATGTGAAACTAATTCAAAGAATTATTCTATGTCATACAAAGGAATTCGGCCTCTAATATAACATAGTAGTGGTTGTTTAAAACAATGAAAATGTTCACAAATAAATGTTAAGTGCAAAAAGAATATTGCAAAATACATGTGTGAATGTTTATACTAAAAAAAATGATTTTGGGGAAATCATTCAACCCCTCGCAGCCTGTTTGCTCATGTGTGAAATGGGGTACAAATGATCAAACAGAGTAGCAGTTGTGAAGATGAGATGAATACATGTAAAGCACTTGGTGCCTGGACCATGCTCTGTAAACACCAAATGCTACTTTCGTTACTGCTGTTAGTAAGGGGACTACAGGCAGATCTGGGTTCACACGCTGGCCTTCTCACTGGCCAGGCGGGTGACTGAGGACACGTAAAGTGAGCGCCCGATCTACGGGACGGACAGAACCGCCCCTCTGGCACAGTCTGCGGGGACTGTTAGGTCAGCACCGCGCCTAGACTGCGGTAAGAACACGACAGAATCCACAAGTGACGCACTGTCCTCTCGGACGATGCTTCTCCCACCGGCACCTCAGTTAAGTATTTAAAAGCCATAAATTCGGAAAATACACATTTAGTAGATCTCTTAATGTCACAGTTGTATTTAGAGAGAATCCAAAGTAAGAGAAATTTAAAGATGAGGAATGCTTTTATGCTACAGGAGTATTCAAACTTTCTCTCTTTCAATACCTGCCGGTGGTACTGGCATGTGGTGCCATTTTTACTGAAGCGTAAGGGGGAGAGGGGTGGTCTTTAACAACTAACACTGCAGTAAACATCCTGCGGATGGACAGTATCTCTCAAAGGAAAAGGCAACTGCTAACGACCCAGATCTGGGACCAAGATCTCCTTCCTTGCTAGGCTGACCCCCCTTGGTGACCCTGGGTTCCCCAGGTCCCGTTCTTACCTCTCCTCTGCCCACTGGGTCACCTTCTGTTGAGCCGTCTGGCCGCTGTAGGCCAGGCGGTCAGGGCCGCTGCTCGGGGGCCGCCGTTCCGGGGACAGCTGCTGACGGAGCTGCTCCAGCTCCCGCTCATACATGAGCCGCTGCTCCTCGAGGGCACTCCTCTTCTCCTCCAGGTACTGTTTCTCCAGCACCTGAACCACATTTTGCACTGGGTCTGGGGAGCCAAGAGACAAGGCAAGGTGTCCTCGGTGATGGGCACGACAGGGCAGCCGGTCGGCGCTTCTTCCAGTGAGAATCATCTCCCTGCTCAGAATCTAGCCGTTCCAGATGCTTTCTCTGAGCGCCCGAGGGGCCCCTCCAGATGAGATCCTCCCAACGGCCTTTTTGCTAACATTTCAGATAAATGCCTTACATGTAAACATTCCCCACGTCTACTGTGCTTCTTCAATTTGATGAGCTCATCCTCCTGTTTAGATGGATCAGTAATTCACTATAAGCAGACGCTAGAGGGGATGCGTTTCTACCCACTGAGAAAAAACTTCATGAAATCGAAGACAGCTTCAAAGACAGCCACACAAGATTTCATTTTTATGGTAGTCAATCTTTATGCCCATTTAGCATCAGTTTTAGTATATGGTGAAGGGTTTATATTTCTGATTTTAACCACAAATCTCATTACTCCTGAATTTCTATCGTGGGGGAGGAAACTTCTAGATCACAGGATATGCTTGAAAATATTGAGTATATGGTCTGGCAATTTCTCAGGTGCTGATATCCAGGAAGGTAATTCACATGCAAAAAGAAAAGCAAAGCAGAAAAAAAGGAGGAAGGAGGGGAGGAATTCACTTATAAAAACAAAAGGTGGTTTTTGACTTATTGCTTTTGCAGACCAAGAGATCAACACCATACATGTGGTGAACAAGTACAGAAATATGTTGTTCGAAGGGGTCATGGCCATGGCCAGCAGTGGTTGTGGTGTAGGTAGGGGTCACTGGCTGAGGCTGGACATTAGCTTGGCAATGACCACTGATCTGGATGCTGTGGAGAAAGAAGGCACTGACCATATGTCCACAGGAGAAAGTTACTGGCATCTCTAAGTGAGCAGACTGCAGGGAAACAATATGTCAGACTATTTGGATGGCAAATAAGAAAACCACCATCCCGGTATTTCCTCCTTGAAGACATGAGATGGGGAGGACATGATTCATATTCTCAGACTGGCCTGCAACTCACACCTTTGCCTGGGATTCAAATAGTGCTATTTGTGCTGTTCCCACAGACTGACTCTAAGTTTAATTTCCAGGATAGAGTGGGAAATGAAGAGGGTAAGACGAACTTTTCTGTCATCCCATGATGGTTCCTGACTGACCCTTCCAGAAGACCCTACCGACCAATTTGTGGAATAACCATGTAAATTATACTTATCTTCTATGTAAGCAATAAGAGAAAGAGATAGTATGTTAGCTTAAAAAAATAAGGTTAAATTATACAAAACAAAAAGTAGAAAGCAATTTAAGAAATCACTAGAGATCTATATGGAGTACAGGTGAGTTGTTTTAATAAAAAATGACAACCACATGGCAATAAGAATTCTACTAGCTACTGACCACCACTCAGGTAGAAGCACTGCACCCTTTCCATGCATCATCTCATGAAAGCCTTGCACCATACCTGAGGGTGGATATATTCCCATTTTAAGGATGCTGACCTAAGATCACAGAGCTAATAAGCAACAGAGCCAGGTTCTGAGCTCACATCAGAGCTAACCATCTGAGGTTGGACATCAATTTACTAATAAACTGATACAGTATTCTTATCTCCAATCTTTTGCTCAGAATTAGTACTCTGTTAAAGAGTAGATATTTGAAAAAAATCCTGTTCTTTGCAGATAGAAAATTCTAAAACTCAGCATTTTTCCAAAGCAGAAATAGTTTTCTTCACAGAGTCCTGACAGGGAGTCTCTAAAATATACCACCTGAAAATCTGACGGAAAATGAACTCCTAAAAAATACCAAACTCTTAAACAAAGACAGACCATGGAGAGGGAAGAGCTTTTCGTAGAGTAAGACATCTATGTACTCTAAAGCATTAGAACTTCTGACCTCACCCTGTAAATTTATGAAAAATATATGAATAATATGGTGAAGGAGTCTGAAGAAATTTTAAATGTAAGGGCTAGGGAAGAAAAGTTGTCTCAGAATTATTTTAAAAATGCATTTCTCAAACAATACATACTTTTTCCCTTTTAGGCTCTAGGTTTAAAAAAGGAAGGACAGGGTCTTCACCATCCATTTATACTTCCATGGAGCCTGGTTTTCAAGAGCCTACATTAGTGTTCACAAATCTTTTCCAGAGAGAGAAAACTGGAGAATACACCATTTGATAAAAATTAATATTCTAAGATTTTTGCTAAAAGACACCGGGTAAGACATTTAATCCTTATTTCTGCTTGTTAGAAATCATGGAAACACACATGATCCCAAATGGCTGAGAGGATTTCACCCCGAGGTTCCATGCTAATGCAGAGGCAACGTGACCAAGGGTGCTTTAAACTGCTTTGGCAGATGCCATGATCTAACACCATGACATAACTATTCACCAGGCTTCATCAGTGGCCACAAACCAAGAAGCAGTTATAGAAGAGGGAACAACTCAAAGCACCCCTCCCCTGAGCCTGCCACCGTAGCCCGGTAAGCCCTGCCCTGGGGCCCTGGGACAGACCACACGACACAGAGCCTGGGTAGAGATACAGGGGCTAAGATTTCCCTCTGTCTATCTTTCCCTTTTGAACTCTGATCTCAACACAAGTCTTTCTCTTAGACGTATCTGATGATACCGTCTTTTCAATAAGCCAGGTTCAAGCCTTTATCATTATACAGCGTATTTATAAATAGATCATCCTACTCAGCAGGTCAATCTGACTCTATGATATGGCTTAGGACAGAAGCCAAAGACTATTTAGCCTACTCTCAACCAACCAGCCATGAAAAAATTGTCCACGGTTTCTTTTCCTCCCTATCATTTTCTTCCTCTTGAATGAAGGGTTTTGAAACTCAGTGAGCCTGCAGCCTAAAGCCAAGATACCAAAGAGGGAGGTGTTTTAGGAAGAGAGAAAGGACCACATTTATTATGGTATAGAATGTTCTCTCTTCGTTAGTTTATTCTTTATCTCAGTATGTAACTATGTAATGCACACAGGTACTGGGTTTGCTTCTACTCTTAATTCCAATGAATGGGGTTTTTCGATCATGATTTAGAGATTTGAAAATACATCATCCTCGTCTATTACTGGGACGATGCAGGTCAATCGATATCTGCAAGTACAGAGTCCTGAACTGCTGAGCTCCCAACAGTCATCCAGCCATTAGTAACAGGAGCAATAATGCAGTAACACGTCTGTGCTGGGGGAAGTACAGGGCAAGGACAGCTACCAGAGTTTAACCAATGGGAAGGCAATGGAGTTGGGACACGGGGAGGTAGGGGTCCCGACTTAAAAGGGCACACGCCTCAATCAGGAATACAGAGTGCTTCTGTCAGGCAGAAAACTTCCACTTCTTCCCAATCATGTTAGTTCGATTTTGCCAAAGCAGAAGCACAAGCATTGGTCAGCAGCACTGCTAACAACCAGTCAAGCTCCCCCATGCTAATGCCAATCAGTTAAAACCTTTATCCCAGTGTCTGTGGAGGAGCTTCGTCTGAAACCACATGAGAGGGAAGAGAATCTTCAAATAGGACCACCAGGGGGACGACCACCAGGCAGACAGGCTTAGGATCGGGAAGCCACCTAGTGGTAGAGGTGAATTCCATGAACACTAGCGGGCCCCCCACGTTTCGGCACTGAGAGCACATCAGAGGGAAGCCCCACTTATGCAGGGAACTGGGGAAACACTATTCTGAAACAGACAAAATCAACACTGGGGAACAAGGCTTGTTCTGGAAGGCAAATGGGTAGCTCATGTTAATACCGTAAGCCAGCCCACCAGTGACTAATTGGTTTGGCTAAGAGGACTGGAGGAATTAACAAACACTCACCAAATACTCATCGGTTATTCAGGGCTTTAATATAAATATGATAAGATCGTAGTGACTCAATAAAATTAGAAATGTGTGATATGGGACGTAGATGATTAAATTGATAGCACTTGGATACGTTGCTGTTAGACAACAGAGACATCTAGAATTCTGTAATCTCATGTAAAGAAAGAAGTTCTTCCAACAGGCGTTCTGCACCTGGGGCTTGGGGCCCACACCCTCCTGTCACACCCTGTATCCATTCAGGCTCCCAAAAATTACTCATAGGAGACTTGTTGCTCAGGCACGTCGGAAAATGGCCCATCAATGTGATTCTGATGTCTGAACATCACTTTGGAATGTCTCCTGTGATTCCTCCCAACTGGGTGAGCAAGTAGCAGAGTGGACTGCAGCCTGATTTCTAGCTATGGTCCAGTCTGTGGTGCAGCGCCCAAAACCCCGGCAGCTAATCTGCATCCCTAATCTCACTGATGTTCTTTTTTGGTGGTGTTCTCTATTCTTCATATTAAATACATCATACTTGTTTTTCCATCTAGCCTCTTCTTCATACTTCATTTTTATAATAGAAAAGAGGGGGGTCCTTGGGGCTAAAAATCCAGAGAGACTAAAAAGGTCAACGTCTTTATTCCTGCAATTCGAATCCCCAATTTGATATGCCAGAGACCCGACTGACATTCTCCAGCCACGCTCACATTCTTCTCAGGCTGACTCATAGATAGAGTGCAAAAGTCATGGTTTCAGGGGAGAGCCCCACTGGGAAACCATGATGCTCTCCCTGTACCATGTCAGGCAGAGGCTCCTGGAGGTCCTCCCTGGTTCGAGGTAGGGATCCTCAGGTATTCAAAGAACCCCTGATTGGGAAAGTGAAAGGAGACAAAATCCAAAAACAAACTTTCTCAGGTGCTCCTTAATGTAAACTCAACTATACTTCCCTGTCAAATAGTTCTGGTCCCAGAAATGCTGTCTTGTGCTTGGTAGGAGAGGAACTTTCCTGTCCTGCTTCTAGTCCCCAGGCAAAAGCCTGGTGACGAGAAACTGAGAGATGCAAGAGAAGCTGCAGATTTATAAAACTGCCATCAAGGAAAGAATGTGGTGTGGATTTTATTGAATGCACAGAAGTGTGTATGAAGAGATAAAGGCTTAGCTTTTAGATACAGAGGGGAAGAATTTTAATACAAACACTGAAAACTTTCTGGAAAGAGGGATCTAGAAACAAGGCTTTAAGGAAAATCTCTTCCTTAAAAATCTGAGACAGGCCAGCGTGTAAGTCAAGCAAAGAGCCTATAAAAACCTCTCTTTGTAGGATCATTTTTGTAAAAGCTACCTGGGCTTACTAAATAAGCATCTTTGGTGGTATAATTTCCAACTGAGTTTTTACCAAAATATTGTGACCTTTATCTCTCCATTAGGTTCCATTTGAAATTCCTGGGTTCATCCTCTGCTGGGGATTTTTGTGCTCTGAAGGATTCAGAAATGACGAACTCAGTAACGGGAAATTTGAAAAGGAATTCCACCACGATCATTCTGTACTCTAGGACTGTGGAAATGCTACCATAACTGACTTGGGAACAAGGAGTCTCAAAACAGGGACTTCTTAGTTATACCTGAGGGAGCAGACCAGGCCCTGCAATAGTTTCATTAGTCCCTCCCCAATGGCCTCTGTAAGAAATTAGCAATTTGGGGGCACCTGGGTGGCTCAGTCCATTAAGCATATGCCTTTGACTCAGGTCGTGATCCTGGGGTCCTGGGATGGAGCCCCGTGTCCCTGCTCAGCAGGGAGCCTGCTTCTCCTTCTGCACACCCCCTCCCACCCCGCTCAGGCTCTCTCACACAAATAAATAAAATCTTAAAAAAAAAAGAAATTAGCAAGTTTACGTTCTTAATTTCAGAATGACGCCTCCACTTTACACAAGTGCATCCTTCACTGAACTGCTGAGACAGGAACTGCCAAAAACGGAGGAATCCGGAGGTAAGGTCTTACCATTACTATTCAGGGTTTTCATGATAACTTCCATCTGTGCAAATTCATAGTTATAGTCTGGTTCGGAGGAAGCTTCACTGGCTGCGTCCAGGTCATGCTCTGGTGGGCCTGCCTCCTTTTCAAAGTCTTTCAACCAATCTCGCCGTTTCCTCTTAGGTAAATTAATTCTGTGGAGTTTTCCATCATTAGAGAAAATTGACTTGTTTTATACTCCGATAACAGAAAAACAAGTTTATGAAAATATTAGGGAACACAAAGATGTTACCTAAAAAAGTGGTTATTTCCCCAGAGGATTCGATCACCGTGCCACAGCTGGGTGGTGCTGCACACAAGAGTGCCATTCACACGGGACCTGAAGGGACACCAGGGAATACGTCAGCGCCACGGGGAAGAGCACAGAACCCAGCCCCAGTAGCCAAAGAGATAAGTGGGGAAGTTTCTCTTAACAGAGGTGTTCTACTAATTCCTAAAGAAGGAACAACAGAATTATAACCACTATCAAAACCCGTGATCTAAGCAATGATGATCAAGGGCTGCCAATATGCCTCAAAGACAGCCAGCCAGGCATGACGTGCTCCTAATGGAAATATACACGAGAATGCCTACGGAATATCTTGTCCAAATATGGGCTGAACCTGATCAAGCTTTTATTTCTAAATACCAATTTAGGAAACGCACAAGGTGGTGGAAGATGCTACATGATGTCATGGGATGCAATGAGCAAAATGCTGACTGTGGGAAACAACCAGGTGTCTTCAATAAATAAAATGCAAGGAAAAGGCGGGGAAGGGGGGGAGGAATAGAGGGAGGAGGGACCTGTTAAAAGAGACATAACAGCCAATGACAATGGTTGAATCTTATTTGATCCTGATTTCAAGAAACAGCTGAAAAGGAACATTTATGATACCACTGGGGAAATCTGAACACTGGGCTCAATATATGATTAGTAAGGAATTATTTGTAATTACTTTAGATGTGATGGTATTGAAGCTATGTTCAAGAATACTTGTCTTTTAGAGATACAAGCTAATATATTTAGATACAAACTTATATCTGGAACTTGCTTTAAAATAACGCAGAGGGGAGGGAGGAGGAGATGTGCAGGGTGTATAAATAAAAACAAAACTGTTTGTGAAGTGTTCATTTTTGAAGCTGGATGATGGACATTTGGGGGTTCATTATACTCTTCTTTCTATTTCATACATTTGAAGTTTTCCGTAATAAAAACTTGGGGAAAAACCTAAAAAGAGTAACCAGATTTAAATCCTAAATAGCTACCAAATTGTAAAAACAAGACAATCGGAGATGGGGGAAACAACTCTGAGTCTCTGCTACCTGCATGAAGCACGCAGTAGATGGTGTGCACCATGTCTCCAGGTTTGTGTTGACCTATGCATCTGCGATTTGTCTCAAGCAAATCGTGAAGCCCCAAGTCTTCCCTGCATTGCAGCTTTGTTACAGCTTACTGGCTACCAGGGGCTATGAATCCAGGGGCTGTGAATAACTCATGGTAACAGATCTCATAGGACTTCCTGCCAATCGGAGATCTCATCAAAGGATTCTTTAACAAAGTTAAAGCCTTGCCACTGTGACTTTTCTTAGGGGGAGAGGAAAAGTCCTCCACAATTTTTAGTGCTGATAATTGTAGTCTTCTTATAGATGTTTCCTTCATTTAAAAAAAGAGATTTTGCTGGTATTAAAACAATCAGGAGGATAATTAACTAATTAAAGTTTAACTTACTAAAGAACTGTCAGGTGAAGTATGATGGAGAAAAATAATGATTATTCTGAGTTTTAGTTTTTCAGTAAGTTACTTTTCTCATAGAATCTCATTATCTGGCTCCTTATCTTTAGAGGACTCTCCAGCTCAGAGTTACGGAGTAAGGAGAACTCACACATGAAAATAAGCCCTCCTTGGTAGTAATATTTTAAGTTTAGGGACTAAATTTTTATTGATAAAAATACCCTGGTAATACCATCTTAAATGTTTTTCATCTATCATACATAAACATGATGAAACTTTGGTGTGTATCTTTTATACTAACATGCTCCCTTTATTCTTGCCAATAAAAATGACTCTCAACGCTAACTCAAGCTTCAGAGGTCTGTGTCCGTCTATTCGGAATTATGGACTAATTTATTCATCTGCAAAAAGTGGAAAATGAGATCAGAATATATATGTATATGTACATCTGTACAAATATACATATTTTTGCCCAAAGAATGATGAAAAGTTGTTTCTTTGGGGGAAATTTTTTAATAGAGTACTCACCTCTTCTACCTAAAAAATAAACATTCATTAGTCAGTTTTCAAAGAAAGTATTTGCCCAGTTTATTAAGGTATCTAAATAATATATCTAGGTGTATAGATAGAAGGGTATTTAGACATATCTAAATATATCTATAACCTAGTATCTAGGAATAGCAGTATGAGGAAGAGATGTGTCACTCAATGTCCTTTATTATTTTAAACAATGAATTATAATTAAAAAATTCAGGTCCTCATTTTCATTAGCCATATTTCGATACTCAAGAGCACCATCTCACTAGTGGCTACTGAAATGGTCTTTGCAGGTATAGAACCTTCCCATTATCTCAGAAAGTTCTAATGGGTAGTGTTATTCTAGAATAAAACTAAAAACAGTTCCAAAGAAAATGAGAGAGAAATATAATAAGCTTTGCCTTTTTATTTATTGCTACCTTTTGTGGTCATTTGTAACTTTAAGGGACCCTTCTATAGGTATGTGTGTGCATGCATACACACATACTTCTGAACACACATATAAAACATCACTGCCATTTATAGTATGCTCTTATTACAAAAATATAAAGAAATATGGAAATTGCCTGCTTTGGTAGTATACCCAAGCCAAGAAATTAGTAACATAAAAAGTGATTTCTAAGTGGACATATGCCTGGGGTTCTTGTTAAGAAGCAAATACAAGGGGCGCCTGGGTGGCTCAGTTGGTTGGGCGTCTGCCTTTGGCTCGGGTCATGATCTCAGGGTCCTGGGATCGAGCCCTGCATCAGGCTCCCTGTTCAGTGGGGAGCCTGCTCTTCCCTCTTCCCTCTTCCCCCCTTCTTGTGCTTGCTTGCTCTCTCTCAAAAAAAAAAAAAAAAGAAGCCAATACAAAATGTGTTTGCAACAATTTATGCCCCCTCGCAGGCCATGAGACTTTTACAGAGAACCTCCTGCTGAAGGTGAGCCCACCTGAGGAACCACACGCTGCTCTAGGGAGCAGTTATCAGCAGATCCAACCAACAGGCGGGCTGAAGCCCCAACAATGTCAGAGATAGAATTTTCAAACAAAGACCATAAAATAAGTAAAAATCTAATTATTAAAGGCATACAGTGAATCTTTAAAAAAAAAAAAAAAAAAAAAGGCATACAATGGAGTACAAACACAACTCTAGAAATACAGACCAGGCCTACCAAAAAAAGGACTTTCTAAACTTCTACAAATGAAAAACGGAGACACTAAAATTATAAACTCAATACAATGTTTAAGCAGCAGGTAAGATGTGACTAGAGAGAGAATGAGTGGACTTGAAGACAGATTTGAAGACACAGTGACTCTCCCCTAACCCCACGTCCCTCCCTGGCTCTGTCTCTAATCCCATGTCCATCTTCACAACCATGACTCTCGGCCCACTTCCTCACCCCCCATTCTCTCCTCCTTGCATTTGTTCCTTCTATACCCACAACTACATGGTTCCTAAACATCCCAAGGTTGCTAGTGTCTTCCTAACTATCCCAACAGAAGCTTGTTAACCTCTATTTTGACCTCTTCTTCCTTACAATGTTCTCCTCCCTTGGCTTCCATCACTGTATCTTTGCCTCTCTGACTCCCTTGTCTCCGGGCTCCTCAGACCATCCCTAAAACATTGGTTTACTCCTTCCACTACACACTTGGGATCCACTTTGAAGACAGACGACACCACTAATGGCTGACTGTATATCGTGAGTATAACTCTACATGTTTAAATCCAATGTCCAACTGGATACATCCACACTGATGTCCCAAGGACACCTCAAATTCACAGGATCCCAACCTGAATCCATTACCACTCATTACCTGTCATCCTCCAAGCCTGTCCTTCCTTTTGTAGTCCTTATTTTGGCTCAGGATCTCCACTGTTTATCTAGTCTCCCAAGACAGAACCCTATAACCATTGCTGACTTCACCTTCTCTTACTGACTCTCCAGTCTGTCCCCAAGCACATCACTAAAGCTGGCTGACTCTCAAATTATTCTCAAATACATTCTGTTCTTCACTTCTTCTGCCACTTGCTGTGTTCCCACGACAATATCATAATAATATCCTAAGAGATCTCCCCACCTCCAGTCCTGCAACCCCACACATTTCCATAGTGATCAGATCTGCAGGAAGAAGCACTTATCATCCCATATAATCACTGTTGCCTCTATACATTCTCTTCCACCAGGCTCTGAGTCCCTATACTTGGGCATTCCCTGCACAGAGCCTGTAGCAAAGACTCCAGAATGAATGCACTGCTACCCCCAGGTTAGGAAAGGAGGAGACTGGGCAGGGTGAGGGAGGGCAAAGAGCAGGAACAAAAACATGGCACTGGAATTGGGTATGAGAAAATTTGCTGATTAAAATTATTTTAGGTATGGTGCTAAAAGAGAGTATGGTCCAATCATATTGTACACTTTAAATATATGCAATTTTGTCAATTAAAAACCAGAGTATTAAAAAAATCCAGAGTTTCTAATATAGTGTAAGACAGCATAAGGCAGAAGGCTACTTGAACTTGGAATAAGTAAAAATTAAGGAACAGCATCATTTCATCATTAAATATCTTAACAATTATATCACTATAACACAAGACCTATAAACTTTCATGAGTCATCTATACCATCCTTGTTAGTCTCAGTTTGTCATCACTTAGAAATTTATACGGCCAATATTAATAGAATAATTTAAAATGAGTGTAAGGTTTTCCTTTCCCTAAAAATGAGTATTCTGATCACAATGTTTGTGTGTTAATGAATATTCTGATAGGACTTCATATAAACTTTATACTTGATTGTAAAGTAGTTCAAGACAGTATTTAGTAGAAATCCAAAAGTAAATATACTATCCTGTCAATTCTCAAATTCTTATATATTATAGCCTGGTTCAGGAATTTTTCATACAATGGAGTTATCTGATTAACTGTTTTTTATGCAATGTATTACACTGAGTAACAACTAATTTTATTCATTATTTGTATGTGTCAGGGGCGCCTGGGTGGCTCAGTCGGGTAAGTGTCTGCCTTCGGCTCAGGTCATGATCTCAGGGTCCTGGGATCGAGCCCTGCATTGGGCTCCCTGCTCAGTGTGGAGCCTGCTTCTCCCTCTGCCCCTCTCCCTGCTTGTGCTCTCTCTCTCTCTCAAATAAATAAAGTCTTAAAAATAAAATATTTGTGGGGCGCCTGGGTGGCTCAGTCATTAAGCATCTGCCTTCGGCTCAGGTCATGATCCCAGGGTCCTGGGATCGAGCCCCACATCGGGCTCCCTGCCAGGTGGAAAGCCTGCCTCTCCCTCTCCCACTCCCCATGCTTGTGTTCCGTCTCTCACTGTGTCTCTGTCAAATAAATAAATAAAATCTCTAAAAAAATAATAATAAAATATTTATATGTGTCAGGCACTGAGCCAAGTGATTTGTTTTGCCTACTTTTAGCCCTATGTTTCACATGAGGAAGCAGAAGTTTAGAGAAAAGTGTGTTATCTAAGATACCCGGCCAGTCTAGGCAGAATCAGCCACCCCAAAGCTGGTGCTCTAAATGTGGCCATACAACTCCCTACAATCGGAAATATCCCCCAGAACCCAGTGAAGTCTTAACTTTGATAGAACTGAGCCAACAGACGGAAAGGGGCAGTCTACTTCTGAAAATCAGGCTCACAGATATGTGAAGTGGACATTTATTTCTCTTACCTGGCATTTTCTTTCGGAGTCAGAGTAACATCGCCATCAGACGCAATATCTATCTCACAGTGCTCTGGCTGAATTCCTATCCCAAACAGCTGGATGTCCTGTGACGTATCTGCACCCACCCTGGTATGGTCCTAGTAACAGATTGTGAAAGAAAGGAAAAAAACCTATTCTTACAAGTAACTCAACACAAATTTATCACCATCAATTTGAATAACCCAACAGCATCTGCATGACAATATTAAACAATCAGATGGGAGATGCAAGATATCTGGAACATAATAGGTCAAAAGCTTACCTTAAGAACTACATTTTAAAAATATTTAAACACTATGAAGAAAACAACACCAACCAACAGTGATTAGATATTGTTTTACAATATAAGGAAATGGGGGGGGGGGGCGCCAGGGTGGCTCAGTCGTTAAGCGTCTGCCTTTGGCTCAGGTCAAGATCCCAGGGTCCTGGGATCGAGCCCCGCATCAGTCTCCCTGCTCAGCGGGAAGCCTGCTTCTCCCTCTCCCTCTCCCCCTGCTTGTGTTCCCTCTCTCGCTGTATGCATCTCTGTCAACTGAATAAATAAAATCTTAAAAAAAAAAAACCAACAACATAAGGAAATCTGACTTGACAGGAAACTATCTTGAGTGCCCATGTTAACTTGACAGCTTACTATTTATGTGACCATGGGCAAGCCACTTCACAGTCTGAGCCTTGGTTTCTTTCTTCCTTTTTTTTTTTTTGCAAAACTAGGACAATATCATCAATTCGAACTAGTTAGTAGGATTCTTTCAAGGATCACCTGAGTTGACAGGGAAAATGCTTTGAAAATAACTATATAAATTCAAGAATCACTAACAGGAATTTCATGGAAAATGGTATTTTCAAATATATAAATTTTAAAATAAAAGCGGGGCACCTGGGTGGCTCAGTTGTTAAGCGTCTGCCTTCGGCTCAGGTCATCATTCCAGGGTCCTGGGATCGAGCCCCACATCGGGCTCCCTGCTTGGCGGGAAGCCTGCTTCTCCCTCTCCCAGTCCCCCTGCTGTGTTCCTTCTCTCCCTGTATCTCTCTCTGTCAAATAAATAAAATCTTTACCCCCCCCCCCAAAAAGGGAAGCCACACTCCCGACGCCCCACTCTGCTCTGCTCACTAGGCCTGCTGGCCCTCGCCTACCATGGCCACCATTCAGCAGCTGGTAGGAAGATGGCGCTTAGTGGAAAGCAAAGGCTTTGACGAATACATGAAGGAAGTAGGAGTGGGAATGGCTCTGCGAAAAGTGGGTGCAATGGCCAAACCAGATTGTATCAACTCTTCTAACGACAAAAACCTCACCATAAAAACTGAGAGCACTTTGAAAACAACACAGTTTTCATGTAACCTGGGAGAGAAGTTTGAAGAAACTACAGCTGACGGCAGAAAAACTCAGACTGTCTGCAACTTCACAGACGGTGCGTTGGTTCAACATCAGGAATGGGATGGGAAGGAAAGCACAATCACAAGAAAATTGGAAAATGGGAAATTAGTGGTGGAATGCGTCATGAATAATGTCACCTGTACTCGGGTCTATGGAAAAGCAGAGTAAAAATTCCATCATCATTGTGGACAGGAAGTAGCTGTGAGGATAAACAAGCTCAGTTCAATGAGCAAATCTCCATACTGCTTTTTTTTTTTTCATTACTGTGTTCAATTATCTTTATCACAAACATTTTACATGCATCTATTTCAAAGTGTTGATTTAATTAGGATCATCCCTTTGGTTAGTAAATAAATTTGTTTGTGCTATGCCAAAAAAAAAAAAAAAGACCCGTGTCGGGCTCCCTGCTTTTCCCTCTCCCTCTGCTCCTCCCCTTCTCATACTCTCTCTTGCTCTCAAATAACAGAATCTTAAAAAAATAAAAATAAAATGATAAAAGTAGATGAGTTTCGAATACCAATATTACAGAGTACTGCAGCCTGTGGGTTATAGAATGCACAGATGAGCATGATTTCAGACATATGAGGACTGTCACTCCCATGATGCGGTCCACAGCTCATCACTTTGTGTTTTCTATTGCTCTAAAAATCATTGAGTCACCATGACAGTAAGTATTTCCCTATTTGACAGAAAGGCTTGGTCTTTCAAAATTAGGATTTTGGACACAATTCCTTATGCCTTAATCATGTCCCAAATGAACAGTTAAGTCCATTGGTGAACTCTCAGTATCAGGGGCTATTTGCACCAGATTTATGTCTCTGGAAAAAGGAGAATAAAAAGGGTAATGGAAGACTGAGGCTCCTTTCTTCAATTCTAGCTTATTTTCCATTGCATTTTTATATTCACTCAAGGCAGATCAGAATCCTTAACTAGGCACCTGTTTAACTTTTGGCAAGTGGGTAATATCTCTGGCATTTAGAGATTTAGGTGTGTGGACAGTTAGATAAGCTACCTTCAAGTCCCCAGGTCTCCAATCCTTGAGAGTTATTTAAAAACTGCCACATATATTTCTATACTACCATAACTGAGGAACCCTATGTCTTTTGGGGTGCCCCATATCAGTGTCTATCAGGTGCCCCACTTCAAACAGATGTCTTATTTCTCACTTAACAAAATAAGCCAGCATTTCCAAAAGTGTGGTCTGACAGAGAAAGATAAATACCATATGATTCTGCTTTATGTGGGATCTAAAAAAGACAAACAAGCAAACAAAGAAAAAGCAGAAGCAGACCCCTAAATATAGAGAACAAACTGATGGTCGCCAGAGGGGAGGTTTCACTTTCAATGGTAACCAGACCACACCATCCATCCTCTTTTTTTTTTTTTTAAATGGTGCAAAAGCAATTTATTTATTTATTTTATTTGGGGGGGTCACTTACTTTTAATGAGCACTAAGCTGGATACAAAAACGCAATCATGGGTACAGACATCCAGATTCCAATGGGAGTTGTATGTGAATGAATCAGGATTGCATCTGTCTATTTATATGCTTTCTTACCTTTAAATAATAAACCAGAAGTTCATTGAGAGCAGGGTCTGCGTTCAGGTTGACTAAGTAGCACTTGTCATCCCCGACCTTGATACCCGACGTCTCCAGGGAAATCCCCATACTTTCGAGTTGTCGTTGTCTCTCCTGGGAACAAAAACAGGAAACTCTATTTGTTGCTCTAGCCACAAGAGGTATCCATGGAAAGTTTCAGTCACTATTTCTGGGGACAATGCCAACAAAATGACACATTACAACCAAGTTTACAGAGTGTCTAAAATGTGTGACATCTTGAGTCAGTGTTATCAGGGTGCTGCGGGTGAACCAGACACCATCTTCCCTTGAAGGGGTTTACAGTCTAGGAGAGGGGATAAGACGACATACCTAAATCAGAAGAGGAGAGCCCTGGACCACTGGAGAGGAACAATGTACTACGGGGCTTCCAAGGAGGGAGATTGTGATGGGTTCAGAGACTAGGAAAGACTTCAGGAAAAGGATACACTTAAGATGTTTCTTGAAGTATAAGAATTTCCAAGGAAGAAATGGGGCAGTGGTAATGTAGGAGCAGGGTGTCCGAACGGAAGGCACCAGAAGGCACAGTAGAGGTTCTGGGCACACTGCATGATTCCAGGTGGCAAGAACCCTAGTCAATGTGGGAAAGTCATGGGAGAGATGGGGCTGGAAGAGCAGGTTGGTTCCTTACTGCACAGGGCCTTGAATTCATTCATTCATTCATTCGTTCATTCATTCATTCATGAGATATTTAAGTGTTAGGTACTGATCTAGGGTTAGGAATACAACAGCAAAGTCCCTTCGTTTGTGAAAACTTATATTCTAGTGGAAAGAAACAGACCATGAAAAAACAGACATGTAAAATACAGAATTGCCAATGGTGATAAGTGCTGTGAAGAAACACAAAGCAATGTACAAGACATAGGGAGTTAGGGGTATGTGTGTGGGGGTGTGTGAGTGTGAGTCTGTGTGTGTGTGAATAGTATCTAAGAAAAGGCTCGACTAGGTCCCAGTTACTGCTTTCAAGATACCTCACTGGGATGGTCCAGTATTTCTAAGTGGTCAGTGGGATTAAAATAATCACAAAACGCACAGTGTAGATTCATAAACCGCACACATTCACACACAAGTGCAGCATTAGTCCTTGCCTTATGTTAGATCTCAAGTAAAGTTCATGTAGCATTTTCTCACAAGCCCAAAGAAGCAATTACAATGAAAAAAACTATGATGTGCTGTCAGTTATAAACTCTCTGCCAGTCAGGTAACATGCTCTGCCAGGTGATCCAAAATCACAAAATGGAGAAGCAGGAAACATGCACAGCGTGGCCTGTGGAGGATGCCTGCTCCAAGTCCGTGCTCTCCAGCACCTCTAGCAAACACGTGGACCACGTGGCAGCCGATGAAAGGCGGCAAAGTAGCCTCTAAGCCTGATCTTTGCGGCTACACAGAAAAGACAGCAAATGAAAAAGAATCACAAGATTTTAGGCCTGAATTATCAAGCTACCTGTGCGATTTCTTCTGTTTTCCTCAGCTTCTCTTCCCAAGTCACTGTTAGCTCTTTGATCAGCTTTTCAGACTCCTCGAGCTTCTCTTTCAGTTCAGGGGCCTTCATAGCCTTGAAGAGGAAACCAGAGATAGCTGATTTTCTAATTTTTCCCACCATTATTTATAAGACAATCCCTTACTGTCCTTCATAAGTGGCTATCAGCAGTCTGTTGGAAGCAATTAAGTCATACACTGTCAAGGTGGGGTTTAGATCTTTATTAATCAAAAGAAATATAAGAATAAATGACTGCTACTCTTTAAAGGAGAAAATGAAACCAGTGTCCTGAATTAAACTGATACAAATCATTACAGAGTAATTTTATCCATCATACTTAAATTTCACATTTAAAGACTTTTTTTTTTTTTTTAAGTAGGCTCCAAGCCCAACATGGGGCTTGAACTCACAACCCTGAGATTAAGAGTCACATGCTCTACCTACTGAGCCAGCCAGGCGCCCTTCACATGTGAAGACCTCAAAGATCTAAAGTTCGTCGTCAAAACAGAAACAAAGGAAAAAAGATAACTTAAGCAGATTTCTTATTCAGTAAGACAGAGACCAACACACATCACCAATAAACACATCCCAGGGATAACCTACCAGGAAAGGTGAAGATTCTTCTCGTTCATTTTAAAATTTGACTCTGAATCATTTAAAACTACTTTTCTTATTGGTGGTAATAAACTTTGCATATTCATCACTCCCTTGGAAACAGGACATCTGGGTAAAAGGGCAGCAAGTTCCCTCTGAGTTAGCTCAGTGAGAATACCTAAGGGGTCTAAGTACAGATACAGAAGTGCAGCTTAAACACTTCGGGGGCCTCTACTTGGCAACAACATGCTTTGACACCCTATAACAACGGGAGCCTCTACAAAGAACAAGCCCACGAACAGGAAGGACGGCAGACTCAGACAAGAAATCCAAGTGGCGATGATGCATACGGTCACTGAGGTTTCAGAGTCTCACAGTGGTATAACAAAAGCTGAGAGTGACATTCAGTGCTGGGGACAAGGAGACACCCAGGAAAACTCTATCTTGGAGAACCTTCCGGGGCCCCTCTTCTGTTCCCTTTGACCGGGCATGGTTCTAGCCATCTGGCCTAGATTACATGGTCATGGGGGAAAAGCAGATTCAGAGACAAGAGGAGAGAAGTAGCGCATCCACCTCTACACGAATTTCAGAACCGCTACACTTTCCTCCTAGGATCATGATGACTCTCTTCAAAGTTTATCAGTATTTTGATTTTTCAGGTGTTTCGCTACCCTTCTTGGCATCAATAAAAAATGATGCTCAATGCACTGAATGATTATAATCATGAGAATAACAAAAAAATAGCAACATTTATTGAGCACTCACAATGTTGCCAGGCATTATGCTAAGTGCCTTCCAGTATCAATGTTGCCCTAGGGGTTAGGGATGAAAATAATTAATAAAACAAGGCTTCCTACACTTCAGAAGCCCACAGCTGGAAAAAGAGAAAGACTCGTAAACACATTGTTACAGTGCAACTCCACCATCACCAATGAAGAGACAGTTCAGATCCCTGGTTTGACTCCTTTCTGCCTGTTTATCTCAATCTCTTACTGATTACTTTTTTGACTAGATACACTGATAGATACATAGGCTGGTACAAAAGTGCTTAAAAACAGTATCTATTACGCTTTTCCCCCCACAGCTTAATACTCTCCTGACTAAAGAGGGTTCAGCAGCGAGTAGTATGAAGGAATGTGACCTCAGCAGCTCTAGGTCCACACCCAAGTGAGGCATGGCCAAGCATGTGACTTACGCTCAGGCAACTTGGCTGTCATTTCAGTCCTATTACCTATTTCAAATGAGACAGGGCCTCACCCAGTAGCTTGCAACAAGCAAGTTACTTAGAAGAGGGTGTGTTTATTCAAGCTGGGTAAAGCCAAGGAAAGATGGTAACAATGAGAAATGACCAATTTTGTTTCCTGCCAGGAGCGGATATACATTAAAAAAATAAAATAAAAGGAGATTTCTGAATTGTTCCTAACATTTATCTGTCTGCCCTGACTTGAGGAAGAGACGATATATAACCAACTAATCTGAAAACTACAAGGCCTATGGGCACATAGTTTACAATGTTAATAAAAACAACACATTTGGGTGCCTGGGTGGCTCAGTTGGTTAAGCATCCGACTCTTGATTTCGGCTCAGGTCATGATCTCAAGGTCCTGGGATTGAGCCCCGCGTCAGGTACTGTGCTCAACAGGGAGTCCGCTTGAGAGTCTCTCTCTCCCACTGCCTCTGCTCCTCACCTTACTCTCTCTCTCTCTAAAATGAATAAACAAATCTTTAAAAAATAAAAAATTAAATTAAATTAAAAAAACACATTTGGTTCTTCAAGTTTCACACTGGAAGAGATTTGCAGTCAAGGGCCAACTGGCTGACTGAGGCAAACAATGAGGCAGTAGCAATCACTGACTCTTACTTGTCTGCGTCCTCAGCTGGAGGTTGAGTTCCTGGGACAGAAGTCTGGTACCACTCATGGTGTCCTCACCATGCTTAGCATGCAGAAGATGCCAATCAACACAGAATTGCTGAATGGCAGGGAGATGACCTAAAACTGCAGGCAAGGACACCCTTCCCCACTCCCATACCACCAGCCAGGGGCCTTCAGGAACAGGGAGCTCCGGGCTGATCTTACCTCAGCCTGCGAGAGCTGCTCCTTCAGTTTCTCTACTTCCTCGCGCAGTTCCCGGATGACTTTGGCATTGGGGTCCTCATTCACGATGGCGTGGTTAACGATCCTTTTGGCTCGATCTGCATATCGCAAGGTGGAGAGGGTCTCTTCGTAGTTGTCTGCTGCTGGGCTAATGGTGGCTATCATAGAGGTCTGACTGTTGCCTCCCAAATTGTCCTGCAAAATATTTCCAGTAGCATCTTAGGAAACAAGCCCCATTCCGTGCACAACACGTAGGATGAAAGCTGAAAACATGCACGTGTGACATTCTCTGTGAAGAAAGAAATGTGTGGTGGAAATGGGTTTGTATCTCACAAATAATTGTATGCCGAGATGTGGTTTCTCTCTAGTCACAACGACGATGCCTGTCAACCAGCACTACCACGGGGTAAGAGGGGCAACAGAAGCGAGTTTTCATTCTATGTTCCTGGGAATCAGGATGACAGTACTGTCAGGGATTGTTGTGTATTTGGTTAGCTCTGCACACACCTTTCAGCTACCAGCTCTGAAACTGGCAAGTTCTAGTTGGAAAGAACACCAGAACAATGAATTACCTTAAGAAGCCAAGTGAGGACTGAATCTCGGTAAGGCACAAATTTGTTTTTGCCCTTGCCAGCTGCCTGGTCAGCCAGTGATGATATCACCAACCCCAAGGTTGTAAGTGACCTGCCGAGAGAAAAAAAATCTTTTTAATTAGCTTTAGAGAATATTTATATTGTTTCTATAAAATAATAATCATTCCAGGGAATAAGTACGAAATATGCAGAACAAGGCCCTAACATTGATACAATCAAGTGTACGTTAATTTGTCAAGAAGCTGAGAAAAAGAAAAACAAAAAAGTAACTCCATTCATTTAAAAGAATGAATTTAGAATCCCTGTAAGAATCTATTCGGTTCAGTCACAGGACCTGTGACTGTGAGACAGACATTTCAGAACCTGGAAACATACGTTTAAAAAAAATCACTCCAGAGAGTTTTAATTGACTCCAAATATTACGGTGAAAGTCTGAACCATTTATTCTTTGGGGCTAATCTGGACCATCTGGGCCTCTTATTCTGTGTTCCATCATAACCACGTAACTTGAAGAGAACTTTTCCCTGCAAGTTACAAGGTATATTCTGTTCATCTGTTAAAGCTAGCAAGCGTATTTCACAACTCAGTGTGGAGTCTGTACAGTCGTACAGAATAAAGACCTACCCAAGCAGAGGACAGCATATGGCTACTCTTTCAACACCTGCTACATAAAGCAGCACTGGGATCCCCTGCGAGCTGCTTAGAAACACAGACTCTTGGAAGCCTCCCCAGGCCTACTGAGTCAGAACAGGTTAAAGATATTTCCAGGTAATTCATAGGCACATTAAATTTTAAGAGGCCCTGGTTGAACAATACCCAAAGTGGTACATGGATTTAGCTGCCTAGGCCCATGATTCTCAAAACGTGGTGCTGGGACCAGCAGCACCAGCAAGACTTGAGACCTTGTTACAAATGCACATTCTCAGGCCCCACTACACCCCAGACCTACAGACTCAGACACTTATAGTGGGACCCACCACTCTGCTTTAACCAGCCCTCTAGGTGATTCTGGTGCAGGCTGGAGTTCGAGAACCACTGGTCTAAGCTCATGAATGTTCCCTGGTAGTTAATACATGTTCCCTGCACCTGGAGAAAAGAGCACCACAGAAACAACAGATTTGTGAAATTGAAGGATGAAGGACATCGTCCTGTGTCACAGGTAGTCCAAGTGCGCTTTTAAAAGGAAATCAACTGGATCCCAAGTTTAGCAGCCAGAAAAGAGCAGCCTCAGGAGATCTCTCAGGAGTACAAGGAAGCTTACAAGACATCACAAAGAGAAAATACTTTGTGAATGGTTAAAAAATTAAATGTTATTACTTATCTATAAAAACAAAAGAGCACATATCAGCAAGTAACCAGAGTTTAGCATGAAAGACTAGATAGCTTTCTTTCTAATGTTAACAACAGACTTCTATGAAATGAATTGAAAGCATGTTTCTTGCAAAACATAATCGCTCAAAGGTGAGTCATTTGAAAATCACTGAAATACAAAGGCAAATTCAAGAGGTCAAAAATGAGCCAGAATTTAATAATAGCCATTCCTGCAAAGTGACATAAATATGTACAATATAATTGACAGATTCAATTAAATCCACCTCAAAAGAAATAAAAACATATGCCCACACAGAAACGTGTCCATGAATTTTCATAGCAGCATTATTCACAACAGCCAGAATGTAGAAACCACCCAAGTGTCTGTCTGTCAAATGATGAAGGAATGGATAAAATGTGGTGTCCTCACAATGGAATATTATTCAGCCACAAGAGAGGATTCTGATATAACCTACAACACGGATAAACCCTGAAAAATTATGGTAAGTGGAAGAAGCCAAACACCAAAGGCCAATGTCCTGGGTTGAACAGTGTCTACCCAAAATTCATGTTCACCAGAACCTCAGATGGATTTTTATTTGGAAATAGGGTCCCTGAAGATGTAATTAGTTAAGACGAAATCATACTGGCTTCCAGAGGGCTGTAATCCAGTGACTGGTGCCTTATAAGAAAGAAGGCCACGTGAAGACACCCAGGGAACAGGGGAGGGGCCGTGTGAAAACAGAGGCACAGATGGGAGCAATGCATCTACAAGCCAAGGAAGGTCAAGGAGCTTCAGCGACCACTAGAAGGTAGGAGAGAGGCAAGAAACAGATTTTCCCTCTGAGCCCCAAGAAGGAACAAACCCTGCCAATCCCTTGATTTGGATTTCTGGCTTCCAGAACTATAAGGAAATCAATTTCTATTGCTGTAAGCCACCCAGTTTGTGGTAACCTGTTATAACACTGGGAAACTAATACAGCCACATATCGATTCCATTTATACGAAATACCCAGAATAGGTGAATACCCAGAAAAGAGATGAAGGTAGTGATTGTCCAGGGCCGGAGGTGGTATAAATGGGAATAACTTGGACACAAGGTTACTTTGGGAATGATGAAAATGTTTTCAAATTAGATTGTGATGATGGTTATACATTCTGAAAATAATAAAGCTGCTAAATTGTACATTTTAAATGGGAGATGAACCATGAGAGACCATGGACTCTGAGAAACAAACTGAGGGTTCTAGAGGGGAGGGGGGCGGGGGGATGGGTTATCCTGGTGATGGGTATTAAAGAGGATACGTACTGCATGGAGCACTGGGTGTTCTACGCAAAAAAATGAATCATGGAACACTACATCAAAAACTAATGATGTAATGTATGGTGATTAACATAATAAAATAAAATTTTAAAAAAATGGTAAAGTATGCATATGTGAACTATTTCCCAATACAGGTGTTTAAAAAAAATTCAAGTTCAGGGGCACCTGGGTGGCTCAGCCATTAAGTGTCTGCCTTCGGCTCAGGTCATGGTCCCAGGGTCCTGGAATCGAGCCCTGCATCGGGCTCCCTGTTCAGCGGGAGCCTGCCTCTCTCTCTCACACTCCCCCTGCTTGTGTTCCCTCTCTCACTGTCTCTCTCTCACTCTCAAATAAATAAAATCTTAAAAAAAAAAAAATTCAAGTTCAAACACTCCATCACTCCTCCCAAAGATAACAAATTTAAGAAAGAAAATGGCAAAAATAAATTATTCAGACTACATCAAAATAAAAAGTTTCTGCACAAAGGAAACAATCAACAAAACTAAAAGGCAACCTACTGAATATGAGAAGATAGTTGCAAATAACATATCCAATAAGGACCTGAAACAACTCAACACCCAAAGACAAATCATCCAATTTAAAAATGGGCAGAAGACATTAAAAGACATTTCTCCAAAGACATCCAGATGGCCAACAGACACATGAAAAGATGCTCAACATCAGTCATCATCAAGGTAATACAAATCAAAATACAATGAGGGGGGCGCCTGGGTGGTTCAGTCGGTTAAGTGTCTGCCTTCGGCTCAGGTCATGATCCTGGAGTCCCGGGATCGAGCCCCGCATCGGGCTCCCTGCTCAGCGGGGGGTCTGCTTCTCCCTCTGACCCTCTTCCCTCTTGTGCTGTCTCTCATTCTCTCTCTCAAATAAATAAATAAAATCTTAAAAAAAAAAAATACAATGAGGTATCACCTCACACCTGTCAGAATGGCTAAAAATCAAGAAACAAGTGTTGGTGAGGATATGGAGAAAAAGGAACCTTCTTGCATAGCTGGTGGGAATGCAAACTGGTGCAACCACTGAGGAAAACAGTATGGAGGTTCCTCAAAAAAATTAAAAATAGAACTACCCTACTATCCAGTAATCACACTAATGATTATTTATCCCAAAAATACTAATTCAAAGGGATACATGCACCCCTAGGTTTACTGCAGTGTTGTTTACAATAGCCAAATTATGGAAGCAGCCCAAGTGTCCATCAACAGATGAATGGATAAAGAGGATATATACACAATGGAATATTACTCAGCCATGAAAAAGAATGAAATCCTGCCACTTCCAACAGCGTGGATAGAGCTAGAATGCTAAGCGAAGTAAGTCAGTTCAAGAAAGATGAATACCCTATGATTTCACTCATATGTGGAATTTAAGAAACATGACGAGCAAAGGAAAAGAGAGAGAGACAGACAAACCAATTAACAAACTCTTAACTCTAGAGAACAAAGTGATGGTCCCCACCAGAGAGAAGGGGGAATGGGAATGAAAGATTATACTTACCATGATGAAATAAAATTAAATTTAAAAAGAAAGAAAATGGCATGTGATATATATGAAATAGAAGAAAAACAGGAATTCAATATAAGGCAAAACCACATTTCTGCTTTAATAAAGAATACAGGGCATCTTTCACATTTTGCAACTACTGGAATAAAATTTTCAGTTGAAAACAATTCTTTGAACTATTATCAGTTTTTAATACTTAAATACAGCAGAAAGTACTTTAATTCATCCAGACTATAAGGAGCCCCGGGACTCCAAGGTCAGTATTAAGTGAACAGTGCCCTTCATGTGCGAACGCGTTCTGGGGTTGTCATGTGTTTTTCCTGAGAGAGATGGGACGCTGTCTGGTGGCAACTGGTCCTTCTTTCTAATTTGATAGTGTCAGGAGTAAAAAGGGAAAGTTCCCGGCACTCCTAAACAGGGACACAAAAAACAAGAGCGCTTTCAGAGAAAAAGGGAAACGGAGGCACAGCGTCAGCACCGCTCACGGCACCACGTGCACGCTGCGTCAGTACGTCGTATGTCGTCAGCACGTACAGCACGTGAGGGGCCTCAGCGGAGGGGCGGGGCTGGGCAGACACGATCACGTGACTCTGGGGCGTGACAGATAATGGCCTCCCGACTCCCTTTTGTGTGTACTTGGCTCTATAACTTACCCAGTTAGGGAAGCTTATCACTAGTAGAAGCCTTTTACCTGATAGTGTGCACACATTCAAAACAAGAACTCTCTCTCAACCTACTGTCCCTTTGACGCAAAAAGAAAAAAACTGCAGGGTGAGGGGACTCCCACGATGGGTGAGGGGTAACCAGGTCGCCCAGTGACCAGGGGGCCACGCCACCCCTCCTTGCTACCTTCCACCTGGGAACAATGATCCAGGGGCTTGTGGAGCCTCAAAAACTATGTGCGAAAAGTGAACAGTGGGTTTACCTATTCTAACAGTAACTTTATTCCTAGGGAG